AATCGCGGGGTACTAGCGCAGTTCTGCGCGGCTCATGGCATCCAAGTACACCACGCGCCATTGGAAACACCCGAGTCGATTGGCCGAGTGGAACGCCACGGCGGGATCCTGAAAGCGATGACTAGAAAGGTAGTATCGCAAACACAGGCCGTAGGCGAAGTGGCATTACAGACAGTCTTGGATGAGTGTTGCCTCACCAAGAATAGCATGCTGAGACATGGAGGTTACTCCCCATCTCAGTGGGTACTCGGGAAGACGCCGCGGGGACCTCCATCTCTAGTAGAGGAGGATAACACCGCAGATCTTGGATCGTTAAACGACCAAGTTGATCCCGAGAGTCGTTTTGCCCTAATCCATCAGGCTCGGACGGAAGCCAAGAAGGCTTTTGTCCATTTGGACACCTCGAAACGCGTGCAGCGTGCACTTCTCAGGAATGCGAAACCGCTGCCGTACACGTACTCGGTGGGAGACGTGGTTTGCTTTAGGCGGGATAAAACAGGTAAAACTGTTTGGTCTACCGCGTCTAGAGTAATCGGTTTTGAGGGTAGCCAGAACGAGAGCGTGTGGGTTTTGTGTCAGAACGTACCGGTTCTAGTGTCCGCACAGAATCTTAGGCCTGCGCAAGATGCCGAGGCACTTGCACACGCAGTTCTCCAAGGGGAACCCGTGCTGCCAGAAGAACTGGTGCGCGGACAGCAACACTTCGAGGACCTCAGAGATGCACCTGGTGGTGACATCGATGATGAGGAGCCCGAAGAAGGACCTTCGGAAGGTACACCTCAAGAGGAAGAAGAACCACCCTATGGTCTTCTGGACGGCCCAGGACCACTCTCATCAATCTTCGAGGATGAGGAGATGAATGAACAACCAGAGCGGCCGGAGAGAGGTAGATCTAGATCACCTCCACCAGCATCATCTTCGAGGTCCCGACGGGTCAGTACAGCTGAACCCGAGGCAGAAAGAACTCCTAATCCTAGCAGGAGAGGAAGCAGATCAGACCTCCTGGACGATCTGCCGGCCCCTATTAGGTCATGTTTTGAGGAACGTAGACACGAGGAGGAAGCAAACGTGAGTATTCGACAGAAACTCCGTGGCTTTTGGTCTAACCGGTTCTCTTCCAGAGAACAGGTTGAGCAGGAGCTCAAGGACCTCCCCGAGGCCTTGAAATACTGGGAATGCACCCCAGCAGTCCGCCTGCGGATCGATGGATCACGCGCTAAGGAATGGAAGAAATATGAGGAGTTTCAAGCGGCAATTCCGCTGAAAGGAGCGCAGCTTAAGGAACTATTAGACGCCGGTCATACGCCGATACCATCTAAATGGGTCGACACTATTAAGAACTATCATGAACGTCTTAAGCCGGATTATGAACCTGAGTTCAAATCCAGACTGGTGTCCTGTGGAAATTTTGAAGATTCCACAGAGGTTCGCACGGACGCGCCAACCTCAGACCTCGAAACGCATGGCCTAGTATCAGCGTTCGCCGCATCCAATGGAGTCCCTGTAGAATCGTCAGATATTCGCAACGCCTACTTTCAGGCCGAGCCAATAGACAGGGTTGTACTTATGAGACAACCTGGCGGAGGACTTCCAGGAGTGGATCCGGAAGCGATGCTCCTGATCAGAGTACCGGTCTACGGACTCTGCGATAGCGGCAGAGGATTTTGGAGGAAAGTCGACCGAGAAGCACGTGAAGTCGGCTTCCAGGTAAGCAGGATTTTCCCTGCATTTTACTTTTACCGCGCCGCCGGAAAAGTAGTCTGTGTCTTGACAACACATGTCGATGACTTTTTATGGGCATCGATAGGCAAGGGCGGAACTATCATAGATAAGCTCCTAAAGAAGTTCGAAGTAGGCCGCCGCGAGTCGGGAAGACTACGCTTCTGCGGTAAGCAATTCGACATATCTGGAAAGGACGTGTTAATCGACGTTACCGATAACACGAACAAGATCACCTACATTGATGTCAAGGCAGGAAGGAAACACTCGGATCTTATTGACCGAGGTGAAGAACGTCAACTACGTTCTGTAGTCGGCAGCCTTTCGTGGATTTCTAGGCAGGCTAGGCCAGATATTCTATACCGCGTATCGAAGCTTCAGAGCTCGATAAAAGGTGCAACTGTTAGCACTCTTCATGAGGCTAACAAAGTCCTAGAACTTGCCTTAAAGGGTCGCGACCTTAAGCTAAGATACAAAAATGGTGCTTTTGATTTCGAGAGCCTGGGCGTACTGACAGCCTCAGACGCTAGCTTTGCGGGTGAAAAGGGAGACCGATCACAACAAGGACGGATCCATTTTCTCGCTCCAGCTGCCCAGCTTCGCGATCCAAATTGTAGTCGTTACGACACAATGATCGTGTCGTTCTCATCCACCACGATCAAAAGAGTATGCAGAGCAACTCTTCAGGCTGAGACTTACGCACTCCAAAGTGCCCAAGAGGCAGGGGATCGCATAAGAGCCGCCCTAGCCGAAATCTACGGGTTCGGTAGTAGTGGTCCCGATTGGGAACTTCGTGCGAGAACACAGGTTCCGCACATAGCGCTGACGGACTGCCGCAGCTTAGCCGACCACCTCAACACGGAGGCTCCGTCCCGTGTGCAAGACAAACGATTGCAAATCGAGCTTAGCGCTCTTCGCCAGTCTATCTTTACAGAAGACGGCAAGCGCACGGTTGAGGCCTACCCTGCGGGTGGAGATAGAGTGGACTGGGTCGATACAGCCACTCAAGCCGCTGATTGTTTCACAAAGTCCATGAAACCGGATTTCATCATAAAGGTGATTGAATCTGGTGAGTACAGTATTAGTCGAGCTAAGCTGTAGACGTAGATTGCAGACGCTACAATCGTGGGCATACGTTGTATGTACCATAGTAGCTGAGTCGGGGCTAGGGTAGCATGCAGACACCACTTCCGGAGGACAATGCCTATTGTACCTCATGTGGTTAATTTAGATTTTCCTCGATGTCATGGCATGAGAACAGGTTGAGTGTGAATGCACCCTCTGTTGTACATGTACAGGAAGCCATGGCCATGACATGCATGTGTTAACTGTATATATTTCCCGCTGCCATTAGGGCCCTTGAGTCATATTCAGATAGCTTCGCAGTCGGCGAAAAGATCCACCAGTTTTCTCAAATTACACGTGTATGGGCTTTAAATCTGAATATGTACGTTGGTTCGATGCATGTCATTGCGAGGCAGTGTTTGTCAATGTGTACATGTTTGCCGGGCGGGGTGCACACACATATGTATGTATGTTTGTATGCATGTAAGTATGTATGCATGCATGGATAATGTACGTATGTATGTATGTACGTATGTATGTATTCATGCACTGTAAAGTATGTATGAAGGTATGTATGTATGTATGTATGTACGTATGTACGCATGTATGTATACCTGTATATGCTCGTGCATGTGTACGTTGTCTTGTTTGTTTGTCTGTCAAACTGTAGTAATTATGTGTGCATGTATTTATGCATGTATGTACGTATGTATGTATGTATACATAAGTCTGCATGCATACATATATAGGTATGTATATAGATACAAACCTACATACGAGCATATCTATATACTTACTCATATATGTACACCCACTCCTGGTGTAGATTGCGCTGCGGCCCCGACACTGTCGTGTCCAGGTCGTGCCTGGCAACACCTGTGGAAGACATGTCGCACCTGAAGGCTCGAGTTCAGTCGCTTAGTTGTTTTCCAAGGGAATCTGGGATGAGAGTTCGGGAGTTAGTGGAAGAAGTATCAAGAATGCGACTCTTCTGCGTAGGAATGCCCATGTTCGAACCATGTTATGATGAAACAGGTCATTTTCCTCGCCTTTCCCCGCACGGGTAGCTCTAAAATCGATATTTCCGTATCCGCATTTAGGGTTTGATGTAGAGGTCTGAGTTGAATAGTCACTGAAACAGCAATAGTACCCCGCTTATTCCTAATACAACGTACCCCAGAGTCCTGTTGAAAATTTTGCTTTTACTATATTATCCCAGTGTCGAATCCATGGCGGATTGTCTGGGAATCCCATGCATGGTTTGTGCTGTTCTTCAGTCATATATATATATATATATACAGAGTAACAATCCGGGCACGAAGGCAAATAAAGAAGAGCAGAGTTGAGACAGGCAACACATTCGAATACATGTATATATGTATATATGTATATACAGGGAATTTCCGACAATTAGGGGGTACCTTATTTGGGCTCCTTATCAGAAGGATCCTCTATTTAGGGTACTATATTAGGGTGCCCTCTTTTCGGAAACTCCCATCTACCACAACATTTCCAACGAAGGGGCTAGGAGCCGGAAACCTCGAGATGATCCCTCGTCCTGGTGGGTGACGGCTTTCTGGCTGGTGCTTGGAGGTTCATGGGCAGTTATAATCAAGCACTTCCCTATGCATGCCCGCTCCCCCTGGGTGCCTCCAACCTGTCATGGTAATTATAATAAGTGACGTTATAAGTAGGCGAACTATAGTTAGAACCCATATTAATTAGGGGCCTTATAACTCCACTTATAACTACCCATGAACCTCCAGGTAGACCCTACGCCCTAAGCCCCTAGCCCTGAGCCCTACAGTAAACCCCTAATTAAGTCCCAAACCCTAGGCTTCAAGCCCCAACCCTCAACCCTGAAGCCTCAAACCTAAGCCCATTCAGGATCAGAGCTGATGCCGTGTACCGAATAGAATTGGGGGTTTCCGTAAATAGGGGACCAAAATATAGTACCCTATTAAATAGTAGGATCCTTAGTATAAGGACCCCAGAATAAGGTCCCCCTAATCTTCGGAAGCTCCCAATTGATCCGTATCGTCGAGGTGCAAAGAAGTAAGAACTGAAACACCGGAAGTCCACACGGCCTCCGAAACGTTCATCCCCATGAATCCAGAAATTCCTAAGCCCAGCCGAAGCCGTGTATCATGAGATCTTGCCAAAGAAGTGGGTATCTGGTACCTTAGATTTACCATGACCCTAAACCCTAAACCCTAATGGAGGGTCCGAGCATTCGCCTGACTGCACCGGTTGTAAGTGCGCTACAGACGTCAATATACCTTAAGCACGCAAAGGCCGTGCTGCCCCTGGACATCCCAGAAAAGTACGTGGCCGCCCTTGGGGTGAATATCGACTGCGGGCACGGTGTTGTGCAGGAGGAGCTTCTTGCGGGGCGTTAGGGTGTTAGGGTGTTAGGGTTTAGGGTTTGCTGTAAAGTTTTTGCGTTCTTCATTAACGGTGATTCAAGAGTTCTGTGTCTGTAGTTATTGGATTCAATGCAGGGTGTCAAAGGGTGTGAGGGCTTGGGACTTTGGAGTGCAGCCTCAGGTGTTGGGCTCGGGGTTTGCGGAGTTTCGGTTCTTTTCGAGTTGGGGGCTTTCGGCTCTGGTTCCAGGCTCGCGCAGTGGTGCGGTGCACATCCTAATAGAAGGGCCTTACCCAGAGGCCCCATGGTAGTTCCTCTCTGGGATTACCTTCTAGTCCGCAAAGCCAGATCACATTGCTTCCCTCTGGCATCGAAATGTCGGAATCCCCCACCGCCCCCGTACTTCCGGGAAAGCATTCTGGCCGTGCTCCTGAATCCCACCATTACCCAGAGGCTCCGTAGTAGTTCTTTTTTTGGGATTCCCGGAATAGGATTCAAGAAGGAACTACTATGGAGCCTTAGGGTATATATGGGGAGAAAATGCTCGTGTAGCAGGCCTGAAAGTCTCCCTAAACCCTATAAACCCTAAGCCCTAAACCCTAAACCCTAAACCGTAGGGGAAACATGGCTGGCGTGCTCGTCGTAGTCTCTGTCGCTGTTTGGGGATCTGTGCTGGCACACTTTGCTTTCTGGGGTTTGGAGTACCATACTTTAATACTTTTTTCTTAAAGGAACCCATTATGAAATTTGAAATAAAGGTTTATACTTTTCTCTCCCTGGTTACTCAAAAGCACAGTTTTTTGGGGGGTTTGGGATTGAGGGCTTTTGCAGGAACTTAGCACTACAGCAGTGCCTAAACTAAGGTATACCGCTAGTTCAAGAAGCTGCTTGGAGGGATCACAAGTGTGGAGGAGGCCCTACTGCAATCATTATATAGGTCTTCCATCTCTGCATCTCTAAACTTACCTTTGGTTAGTAGGGAATGGAGGAATGGGGTACCATTATAACTGCTACTACTACCATTCTTCCATTCCCTACTAACCAAAGGTAAGTAAACCCCAAGAAACCCCCAACAAGTTTCCGAACCCACGATCCCTCAACCCTAAACCCTAAATCGTCATCTCCAAACCCTAACCCCGAAAGCCCCTACCCAGACCCCCAAAGGCCCAAAACCTATAAGAGGCCACTCTTCTACATACTTTTGGGATCCAGGTAGGTTTCACAAGCTCTTTGCCTGGAGCTAGGATCATGTTGGGGCTTTTTGGATCGCCGTCTGTTTCTCGAAATCTGGTTCTTATTTGGGCTTGGAGGTTCATCGGTAGCTATATGGGTGGTTGTCAAAATTATGGTCACTTCTTGGGTACCCTACATATTAGGTGCCGTATTATAATAAGGACCCACAAAGGGACCCTAATTTCGACAACTACCCATATACGAGTTAAAAGTAGGGCAACTATAATCAAGACCCATATATCGGGACTTTTAACTCCACTTCTACATACCCATGCACCTCCAAGTATGAGGGTTCTTTAGGAGCCCTAGCAGGGGTGTCTACAAGGAGCTCTAGGATGTAGGATGTCGCGTTCAGGGTTTAAGGCTGTATAGGGTTAGGTTCAACGAGTGTTGCCTCAAGCCCGGTTCTTGGAAGTGTCGGGCTTCATTTCGCAAGCTTCCAGGAGCTTGACCAGCGGTTGGTGGACATGCAGTGTTCCGGAACGATGATATGCAGCTACCCATTGTCCATGCATGATGCGCCGGCGGTGTACTTTACTGACGTTGTCAATCAGGCTAATTCTGTCACCATGTTTTCTTTTTTTGGAGTAGTACGCCACTTCCAACGCTAAACCTCAAGCAATCTGCTTTCTCGTGTTGTTCCCAAAGGAGCAAACCCTAAACTCCTACGCCGAATTAACGTGTTCTGCTCAGGTCAGCCAATGCGCACCTACTCACAGTGTCGTGCAGAGCCTCGTCGTGGCAGCCATGCATCTGGGCTTAGCAGTTCAAATTTTACTCTCCGATTCTTAGTGTTTAGGGTATAATTAGGGTTAGGATGGCCTTATACGGTTTCTATAAGACAAGGTTGCTATAAGTATGAAGTAAAAATGTTGAGGAATGCCAAGAGAGTTTACGGTATGCGTCGTAGTTCGCCTGGTACTCCTCGTGCAACATCCCACAGCCTGCACCTGCAATCCTAGAAGTTGACTCTAGGACTCTAGGAGTAAGTGGAGGCGCACAAGACGACATGCGATTTAGTGTCTAGGTCTAGGTAGGGTGAATGAAGTGCCGCAACGCAAAATGGGCTAAACCTTAAATCGTAATCTTGCAGCTCGTAGAAGTGCTGGGAAGATCCGTATCTCGACATACCCAGCACCTTCCCAATCAAGTTAGCCTCCTTCGAGACCCTTAAAGGAACCCTTATAGATCCCTTTATGGTAGCTTAAATGATATGGGAGGTTTCCGAATATAGGGGACCCTAATGTACGTCTGGGGCTTGTGGTTCTGTGCCCAAGACCCTCAATCTCAGGATCGGGCTTCGGCGGAAAAAGGGGGTTCGGGCTTAGGGTAGGGTTTAGGGTTCAGGGTTTAGGGGACACCAAACTCATCATATTCATCCAAAGAGGCCAGTGTATGCAAGGAAAGCCCGGCGAGCCTGAACAGTAGATCAGTAGATCCCTATGTACACCTACATGGTGTGCCCGGTAAGTTGAAGAAGCCCTTCGCATACATCCCTGTCCACGCAGCTCAGTGCAGGCAAGGCCATCGCGGGCTCTACACGCCTTCCCACCTTAAGCGGCGAATTGGGAAGAACAAGGTCGGATATCGGGCTCAGGGTTACGATGACGGTTGTTACCATGGGCTGTAAGAGTTCTGAAGGGTTTGGGGTTCAGGGGTTTTGAGGTTTGTTGGTTTATGGGTTGAGGTTATAGGGATGAGAATGAGAATTGTGTGCTATTCAAGCTCCTCGTCCTTCCCTCAAAGGGAACCCTATTCTAATTATTTAGGCCCCTATATAGAACGTTTATAGAACCCTGAAAGCAACCCTTATATACAGCCCTTAAAAGGAACCCTGTTAAAAAGCTCATCGTCCTTCAGGGTTCAGCAACCATGGTTCGAGGCTGCATGTTTCGGAGTTCCTAGGGTTTAGGGCCTAGGGGTTAGGGTTTAGGGTGTAGGGTTTAGGGTTTTCTGATTTGCAGAAAGAGCTTCAGTAGGGTTTAGCATTGCGGGAACCGGGGCTTCAATGCGTAAGAACTTGTAGCTTTTTCGATGGTTCTGTTGCGGCACACTCTGCCCCTAAACCCTGAACCCGGAATTGGCTCTCTTTCGTGGGGCCCTGTATTGGGGCTCGGGTACTAGACGTCTGGTGATCTTCCGCAGGGTTCCTTTAGGGGTTCGGGTTTTTCGTTCTGAATTCCATGGTTCTCGGTGGCTGGTTTGTTGATGTCGCGTCTTGCTTTGGTAGTTCTTGGCGCTGGGGCTGGAAGTTATCTTTTTCCCCGTGGATGGTCTTCAAGCTTGCACAGGACGTAAACTCTGGAACCCAAGCCCCCAAACCCTCCGAAAGTCTATACATCCGATAAGTTCTAACCCGTCCGTATACAGAATGAGCTCCTAAATTCCGAACTCCTTAAGCCCTTTGTTCCACGTAACTGCGGACCATTACCTTCTAGAATCCCTCAGCTATTATCCCGCACAAAGCCTTAAACCCTATACCCTAAAGCCCTAAACCCTAAACCCAAGACCCTTAACCCTAAAGCCCTAAACCCTAAACCCCAAACCAACATGAGCTAAGGTGCCTTTGACTGAGCAGACGGCCACGTTTTTCTTGTTTTTCCTGGAGGCGGTTGTCTCGGAGATTCTGCGCCCTGCTGCGATTAGGGTTGGGGGTTTATGGGGGACTAACTTTCAATTGAATGATGGGGAGTTTGGGCGCTTTGTTGCAGTGGGATTTAGTCTACACAATGTCTCAAGGTTCTTGGAATAAGGATGTGTAGGATTTAGAATTGCAGTTTGGTTTTTGTTGGGGCTCTGTACGCTGTTGAGGTTTTGTGCTTAGGACCATCGGGCACCGGGGATCCTGCAAATCCCAAACCCCGGAGAAGAAGAACGTATTGCTGGGATCACAACCGCATTCCTCGGAGGCTTCAAAAGGTGGGATGAAGGTAGGTGGGATATTCCCAAATAAGAGTGCTTATATAAGGTGTCCTTAATCCTACCCTAAACCCTAAACCCTAAACCCTAACCCTCCTACCTACCTTCATCCCGCCTTTTGAGGCCTCCGCATTTCCGAACCCAACATCGGAGGGCAAGGAGTTTCTGAAGATTGCGCTTGAGACTTACGGTGCAGGGTGTGGTGACTCCCTGTATGTGTATGTATTGTACATGTGTACACACACACATATATATGTCAATATGCACATTCATATGTACATACATACATATATATATATATATATATATATACATGTATATATGGTCAGGCGTCTGGCGTTCCCAGCCCCCCCCCCCCCCAATGGTATGGTCTGATAGGGGTGGGGGGGAGGGGCTGGCTGGCGTGTGCGGAAAGGGGTTGGGGGCCGTTGGAGCTGCCACCGGATGGTGGGGTGGCGCTGGCTGCCAGGGCTCACGCGCAAGCCCTTCGCAAGCAAGCCGTAAACCCTATAACGCAGCGCATGCCCCTGTTTTGAGCAACCTTAACTTGTACTTAAAACGCTACACCCAACCCTAAACCCCACCTAACTGCAGGCTCTAAGCCTAAAGCAGAGCATACACCGCAAATCCTCCCTAAGCCCTTGTCGACTCGAAGCCTTATACCCTGTAACCGTAAACCCAAAACTCACAAGCTTAAGCTAAACCCTAAACCCCAAAACCCCACAACCACCCACAGGGGGAAGAGGAACCCCACACCCCACACCACAGGGGAGGGGGGGCCCCACCCTATATCCGGACCATTGACCTTTGGGGGGGGAGGGGGGGGGGGCTGCGGAGCGCGTGACCATATATATGTGTGTGTGTGTGTGTGTGTGTGTGTGTGTGTGTGTGTGTGTGTGTGTGTGTGTGTGTGTGTGTTGAACTGTGCAACTACACATACGGGCGTTATGTGCGCGTATATGTATTTGTGCATACATATATATATATATACACATATATATATATATATACATATATATATGTATAGTATACACACACATGCATAAACACACATGTCTACGTACAGACGTGTATATGTGAACAGGGTCCTCCTGAATGGAACTCGTCAGGGAAATCCAGATTTTACCACCTCAGATCCTGCAACCATGAACGCCAATATCCCTGCTCCCGGAGTCCATACTTGGAGGTTCATGGGCAGTTATAGGTGGGGTTATAAGTAGGGTAACTTAGGGGACCTATAACTCCACTTATAACTACCCATGAACCTCCAAGCATAATTCTTGAAGGTTCAACTCCTGCAGCAAAAAGCTGAGCATCACCAGAGGTTTTCTTTTCTGAAAGGAGCTACGCCCGAGATTGGGGACACTGTATATCGTCCTCTATAGGTTTAGGATGGTTTAGGGTTTCGTATAGACCCTTAACCCTTCTTCCAAGCCCCCAAACCCACTCTCTGATCCAACACCTTACACCTTAAAGCCCTAAGCCCTCAACCGTTCAAAAGGTACCTGGATCGCCTCCAGCCTGAGCACACCACTGAGAGGGTGGCTGAGATCATCATGAACTTCGAAGCTACCAAGCGTGGCAAAAAAGACGCGGGCTCCACCGTTTAGGAAGTGTACTTGGAGGTTCATGGGTAGTTATAAGTGGGGTTATAAGTCCCCTAACATGGGTTATAGCTATAGTTACCCTACTTATAACCCCACTTCTAACTGCCCATGAACCTCCAAGTAGGGTTTAGGGTTTCTGGGTGTTGGGCTCCTGGGTTTTGAGGGTTAGGGCGTTGGACTGAGAGAGGGTTTTCAGGTCCTTGCCTCGGGTCTGTCAGGGTGCGAGAACGATCTCACTCGGTCTTTCAGAAAGTTCTCAAAGGTTCACCGGAGTTTGGCAGTAAGTTAGCACGCAAAAAGTGTTGAGAGTCCTTGTTGTAGGGTTTGGTAGGGTTTAGGTTTTGTAGCTTGCGGCTTTCAAAATCTAGTATCCGAACTTTTTGACTTAGGCTTTATACCTTCAGTCTTTGGTTCGAGGGCTTCTTATGCTTACAGTTCAGGGTAGCTCGGTGTGCAGCTTTCCACCACCGCTGACCAGCAAAGCTGCAACTGCAAAGGTTCAAATCAACCTATAGTAGAAGCCAGAAAGTTGGAACATAATTATCCTCCTGCTCCTAAGGTAAAGTAGAAGGGATCCTAGCACTAATCCTCCTAAAGCCATGTTCCAACTTTCTGGCTTCTACTCTACGTGCCATTCCTCTACACCCTGAGGTCTCAAGTTTTTTCAGCAAAGACACTTCTTGCCTTGCTCGATCCCTCAGCCGAGAACACCTGGTCACTATGCTAAGTTCTCAACAAAGCCTTGCCTTCGTCAAGCCAAGATGCTTACGATACAAGATTGCCTACCGATACTGGTCCAAATAGTGTCCTCATTGCTCTGGCACTGCAATCACCTAGTCGAGTACGTACCTTTCAGCTTTTCGGTGTGTTGCGGTTTAGGTTTCATTGAGGGGTGTTAACTTATCCACTACCCTCCGGCTCTAGCGTCTTGTCTGCATCCTTTTCTACACTTTGCAGTCCAAAGCCTGAATTCGGCAGTGTAGCCCTAAGGGTCCATGTACTCATATAGTATATACATTGGCCTTAATGTAGTCCCTATATGGGTACATGGACCCTTAGGGTAGGTGGAACATGCACCAAAAGGCCGAAACCTTGAGCCCCACACCGGAATCCGAAGCCACTGCGCCGAAGCCTCACCGAAACTTCAACCCCCTAAACCCCCAAAGGCCCTAAACCTCTAACCCCCTAAACCCCAAACCTTAAACCCTGAACGGCGAGGTACGGCGAGGATGGGGTATCTACCGAAACCACGAAGGCCTGCGATGTTTGCATTCCGCCAGAAGCTCCAGGGAGTAGGGTCTAGGCTTTATAGGGTTAGGGTTTAGGGTTACGGTTCAGGGTTTGGGGTTTAGGGTTAGAGTTTAGGGGGTTAGTGGTTTAGGGTTTAGGGACGAGTTTACGTCGGATTTAGGGCAAACTCTTCAGCGTCTCATGATCGCTCGTTAGATACCGGCGTACATAGACATAAACATCCCGCCGCATGGTTTTTTCTCGGGGATTTTGTGGTGAAGTAGTGTCCCCAGCTTGTTTGGGATACTAAAAGAAGTGCTACGTTATGCTTAAGGCTAGGAAACGTGTGGTTTCAGCACGATTTTTGATAACCAAAATATAAATGCCACATCGGACGTTACAGGTCAGGAATTCCTCAGTATTTACAGGCTTTGGCGGCTTTTGGGCTTGGAACTAACTGTTTTCGGCGGGGGGCAAATTTTATGTTTTGGGCTGGGGCACTGTGTAGTTATTGTTGTGTTGAGGGAGACGAAACTTGAAGGAGTCTGCAGATTTCTTCCAAAATTCGCGGCCATCCGTCGGCTCTGAGGTCCGAAATGCAGCGGCGTCATGCAGCAAGTCGCAAGAGAATAGTTTCCTTAAAGGGTTTAAAGGGCTCCTTAACCTTAAACGGTTCCCCTTAAAGGGCTCGATGAGGTAAGGGCTTTACGGGTTTAGGGTTTAGGGGTTTAGGGTTTAGGGTTGAGCAACGACACATCGCCCTCACCCTAACCGTGCTTCAGTGCTTCCCAGATTCTTATGACACCTCTGACCCTAAGACATGAACCGTGATTGCCGGACCTGTGATCCCTGACCTCGCACCCTTCTCGGCGAAGCCTAGACATTCGACCTCAGCCTCGCACTTGTGTGCAAGATTTCGCTTAGGAATTCTTGCGGCAGCAGCCGTAAGATCTGCAAAGTCAGGCACGGCAACATCCTGACGTAGGGGTTCCGTGGAAGCCTATTTTGGACAGCCCTGTCACCTACTATCACAGACTATGAAGCGGTAAGGCAGCCTGAGTTTGCATAGAGCAGACCCCCGGGGCGGCGCCATGCAACAACCTCCACAAGACATGTGGACTGCGGTGCAGCTGCCTCAGAGGAGCCGGTTGAAGTAGACCATACACTGTAGACACACGTAGACCGGGTCTGATCCCTAAATCATCCTAAACCCTAATGCCTAATCTAATCCAAGACCCCGTTGATGCACTGTTCTTGCTACAGAAGAACCTAGACACTAAATTCGACATGCGGTGTCTCAACTCGGAAGCCTGGCCATACAGATCATAAAAATGGGAGTAGTAGTAGTAGTAGTAGTAGTAGTAGTAGTAGTAGTAGTAGTAGTAGTAGTAGTAGTAGTGGTAGTAGTAGTAGTAGTAGTAGTAGTAGTAGTAGTGGTAGTAGTAGTAGTAGTGGTAGTAGTAGTAGTAGCAGTAGTAGTAGTAGTAGTACTACTACTACTACTACTACCACTACCACTACCACTACCACTACCACTACCACTACCACTACCACTACCACTACCACTACCACTACCACTACCACTACCACTACCACTACTATTGCCACCACTACCCCATAACTACTACGTTTGCACGATGGTCGCGATTCGGCGGGCGGTATTTTGTCTGCGGAGTAATGTTGTATCAGATGTTCTCCTGAGCCATATCCCACCGAATCCCTAAACCGAGCCATAATGAGGTGGCGCGTCGCACGAGGGGTCCTGAGCGCCCTGGGCTTCACGGCCCTGGGCACAGGTGTTGGTGCTGGGCTGGGCGGCGTCCTCGGCCGAGGGGCGCTCAGCTTCTTTGAGACAGAGTTGCGGGAGTACATGACCATGTTGATGTGCTCTTTGTGGCTTGAAATTTCTGGCGTGGGGAAATCTCAGCGCTTTAGAGAAAATCTGCAACTACACCAGCTGATGCTTCAGAAAATGCGTGGATTTCCAGAGGTCGGTATTACACAACGATACAGAACAACGTGCAGGATCCGTGACGTACAGCGACTATGATGAGAGTTGAGTTTTCAGACAGTTGTGAGTGCAGAATTAGTTTCAGAATAGTTTTTCTGCAAATGTTGGTTCACAGTCTCTGGTCTAACGGCGAGAGTCGGCACTGCGGTTTTGCATGTGACATCGGGATAAAGAGCTTCCAAGTGGGAATTGAGTCGTGTGTTGGTTACACGAAAGACAGGTGGCTTTGAACTCTAGAGAAGCCGTTGTGATTCTGTCTAGGCCCAGGACTGTCAACTTGTAGGGATGGGCCAGGACAGCAAGATAGTAAGGGGATGCTATGCAGTGCCACCACTGTTCGCACCAACTACTATTGCCATCGCTACTCGTAGACAGGTAAACACTGACACGGGCACTAACCGCTATCATGACCCAGTCAGTAAGACTAGCATAGCTTAACCATCATGGGTGAAAACGAAATTTGCCCAGTAGCCTCTAAACCCTAAACTCTAAAGCCTAAACCAAAGCGAATGGTGAGAAAGGCCTCCTCGGTGCTGTCTTCACGTTTGGCACCTCGCTAGTGGCAGCGCCGCGTCCTGGCCGAGATATGCAAACCCGAGCCGGGCATCCTCCAGCCCTGCCTCCCAACGACCATGGCCCAACATGGGCGTTTGCGGGGATTGGCGTACCTTACTTGGGGTGCTTATAATAAGGGTCCTACAATTTAGGGTACTATACTAGGGTCCCCTGTTTCCGGAAACTCCCATATAGAAGCTTGCATACTTGCACTTACAGCTGCCCACACTACTGCATAAGGTTCTTCGGTAGAGGTGTAGTATGAGCATACCCCGAAACGGGTGTTTCTTGGGGCTTCTCCTCAAGCTTTGTAGGCAAAACCAGAGGCTGGAGCCCAAGCAGGATCCGTCTACCCGCCCAACATAGGGGCCAAAATAAATACCAATACTTTTTTGGGGGTTCCTTGTTATACTTCTAGTGTAATGGACCCCAAAACAACCCTATTCTAATGTTAAGGCTCCTGTATTCACCGACTGATCCCTCCAACGAGTCATCAGCGATCTTTGGCTTGTTCTCGGAAATCTTCATGGCGAGAGCCTGATCGAACCCTGCCCTTTAGGGTTTGAGTTTTTCACATATGTATATGTATATATATGTATATGTATATGTATATGTATATGTATATGTATATGTATATGTATATGTATATGTATATGTATAAGTATATGTATATGTATATGTATATGTATATGTATATGTATATGTATATGTATATGTATGTATATATATACATATATATATATATATATACATATATATATATATATATATATATATATATATTATACATACAGTGATGTAACATAACATCACATACACTAAAACATAACATATATATATATGCATATATATATATATATATATATATATATATATACACATGCAGAACTGTGCAGACTGTGGTCTGAGGATGGCTGTCGGCATAGGAGCTGTCAGCGATTGTATTTCACAAATTCAGACCCCCATGAAACGGAAAATAACGCCGTGGCGCTTAAAGCTATGAAGGAGAAGCCTGCCCTGGTAGCATAGACTCTAGGTTGATGGTGCTTTCGGAGACAGGATATCGCGTGGGGCCTTGTTGGATCTTGCTTCGTCTTGGATTACTAGCTGTCGCTGACAGACGATGCCGGCGGCAACGGCGACAAAATAGGCATCATCAACAGCAACAACAACCACAACAACAAGCACGGCGGAAACCCCAGCAGCAGCAGCAGCAGCAGCAGCAGCAGCAGCAGCAGCAGCAGCAGCAGCAGCAGCAGCAGCAGCAGCAGCAGCAGCAGCAACAGCAAACAACAGCACCAGCAGTAGCAACAGCAAGGGCAAAAGCAGAGCAAGAGCAAGAAGAGCTGCAAGGACAGCAACAGCACCAAGAGCAGCAAGTGCAGCAAGAGCTGCACCAGCAGCAAGAGCAGCAATGGGAAGACGAGAAACAGGAGCAACAGTTGCAACAATGTCAACAGCAGCAGCAGCAGCAGCAGCAGCAGCGGCGGCAGCAGCGGCAGCAGCAGAAGCTACAGCAGCGACAGCGACAGAGATAGCCAGTGCAACAGCCACAGTGGCAGCGGCTGCGGCAGCGACAGCGACAGCAACACCCAACACCGAACAGCAACGGCAACCGCAGCCAGTCCGGCACAAGGAACTCGGCATCAGCGCCAGCTCCAGCACAGCGCCATCACCAGCACCAGCACCAGGGACCGGGACGGGGACGGGGACTGGGACGGGGACGGCGACGGGGACGGGGACGGGGACGGGGACGGGGACGCGGACGCGGACGCGGACGGGGACGGGGACGGGGACGGGGACAGGGACAGCGACAGCGACAGCGACGGCCAGCAAAATGCAACAGCAACACCACCACCAACAACAACTACTGCAAAATCCTAACCCCCAGCCACGTGACTAGAAACTGACAGCTTCTGCTGTTGCTGATATTGTCGGTCTGGGTGCTGGGCCAAGGATTCAAACATTGCCCCGACCCGGAGCTAGAAACAGCGTGTCTCTGGGTTGGTTGGAGCCCCTAAATCCTAAATTCTAAGCCCTACAACCTAACCCTAAAACCTAAAGCCTAAAACCTAAACACCTAAGCCCTAGACACATAAACCCCTTAACCCCTAAACCCCTCAACCCCTAAACCCTAAACTCCTACACATGTAAACCCCAAACCGTCTCAAGGTTGCTGGGAGCTCTTCTAGGTGGGGCTTTCGGTTGCTTCCACTGCATCAGGCCGGTTGACCCGAGCGAGGAAGGGCTTCAGGGAGTTGGGTTTAGAGTTTAGGGTTGAGGGGTTGAGGGGTTTGGGGTTTGGGGTTTAGGGTTTCAGGGTGTTTAGGGGTTTAGGGATTTTGGGTTTTAGGGCTTAGGGCTTAGGGCTTAGGGGTTTTAGGTTTAGGGTTTAGGGTTGAGCGCGCTCTGGGATGTAATAAAGGGGCCTTAATAATTACCTACACTGTTTTGGGGGTTCCTTGTTATATTTCTGGTATAACATACCCCAAACCCTATTCTAGTTGTTAAGGCCCCTAAATTATTTCTCGCCGTTGTGAGCCTCATGTGAGCAGTAGTCGTAGACGGGGGCATGTCCTCGAAAAGCCCCACTGCGCGGTTCTGCCAAATTTTTCAGACACAAGCAGGGCTGGTTGTCCGCATCAGCCTTTTCAGAAGTAAATCAACAACTAACTTGAAGCCTACAACACAGGAAGGGTTGGTTCTCTGCGTCAACCTTTTAGGAGGAAGCAGGCACTACTGCTACGATTCTTCCTCTTGGCATTGATGCTTGCCGTGTCCTGCCGTTTCACTCATATTATTCATTGTCGTTTTGAGTTTCTGATCTGTGATGTAAGACAAACTCGATGTCGTTTTTGAGAACGTCAGCCTCAAGCATCTTAGTTACGCTATACCAAAACCCTAAACCCTAAACCCCAAACACAAAACCCAATACCCAAAGCTCAAACTCCGAAGCCCGAAATCCGAAGCCCAAAACACTTGACCGCGTCCAACAGGTACTATGCGGGCTGTTTAGAGAGCCTACTTCTGTACCATCCACGCCGGTATGTCGAAGCGTGACCCAACATTAGGGGGGCTCCTTTACGGGCTCCTTCGTTGCTTGTTTTTTTTGGGGTAGGGCTTAGGGTTTAGGGGCTCGTATCAGAGTTTCGATAGCAGTTCAGGAGTTTATAAGGGGCCTCAACCCTAAACCCTAAAAGCACGACTCTCTACTTTCCACGCAAACACGCAAAGCTCCCATCTAGTCACGGAGCCGAAGCCCACCCAAGCTCGCTCCGACACCCCGAACCTTCAGAAAGAACTTGAATTAGGTGGCTGTCAAAATTATGGTCCCTTTTTTGGGTCCTTATTATAATACGGCACCTAATATTTGGGGTACCCAAAAAGGGGCCAAGATTTTGACAACTACTCTATTAGGGTTTAGGGTAGCAGGGGTTTCTGTTTTCAGGTTTGCAATTCCGAACCGGTGCCTCTTATGACCCATCACGCACAGACGGGTTCAGAGCGTAGCTCGGGTCCATAAATACTCCGGCATTCTGATAGTAATATAAACCCCAACATACCTACCTACCTACCTGCATGAGCTGAACTGCCGACACAGATTCATAAGTATGTGCATTTTGGTCTAACTCTCTCTCTATCTCGAATATATATACACACACACACACACAAAGACATAGCACTGGGATGCATGTGTGTGTATCTATGTATGTATGTGTGTATGTATGTATGGATGGATGTCTGTATGTCTGTATGTACATATATATATATATATACACACATACACATATATATATATATATGTATATATATATATATATGAGTCGCATGTAAGCCTCTATATGTTGAAGAGGGTCCACAACGGCTAACCCTCCTGGGCGAACTGGGTTCCCGTAGGTGCGCTTTGGACAGTTTCTTTTTGCGAGTACTTGGCCTGTTCTTCCTTGTCTCTGGTGATCCTCAAACCCTATATCTTGTTCAACCCAGGACAAGTCGTTTTTGGACATCACCTGGGATGTTGCAGATGTGCGGTGCCTTGATCGCAGGAGCCGAAAGACTGAAGCCCAAACCCCGTCCGTTCAATCAGAAGCAGGCGGCAGCTTCGGCTTCAGCCGTTAGGTTGTTGAGTTTGGGTGTTTAATTTAGGTGTTCCTTTAAGGTTTGCTTTAAGGGTTTGGGGTTTATGGGTTTAGGGTTCAGTGCATGGGTTTAGGGTTTCGAGATGAGGTTGACGGCTTAGGTCTCGGCAACATAGTTTGTTTATAGGCTGGAACCGTGGGTTCTTCTGGAGCCATGATTCCTAAACCCTTACTCGGAAACCCTAAACCCCCCACCCCACACCTGTAGCCGAAGCGTCTGGGCACAGACTGCTGGATGATGCGACGCAGGTGGGAGGGGTCTAACATTGGAGCCTGAGCCAGTTATTCTTCTGTCGTTTTAGAGTCTAGGGGTTTCTAAGTTTCTGAAGAACTTCAGAAGTGTTCGGATACGAGCCACCAGAACCCTAGGCCTAATCATTCGGGTTTCCCTCTTTCCCTAAGCCCTGTGGCGGGTGGAACAGGGTGCTTAAAAACAAAACCAAAACCCTGAGCCCTACCTAATGCCTTAAACTGTAATCCTTAAATCGGAGGGCTGTTTCTAGTGCTGATGTAAATTGTAGCCAAATGCTACCAAAAACCCGAAGGCCTAAACCGAGTCTTTGAACTGTGAACCGTAAACCGTGAAAGCAAGATCCGAAACCTGAAGCCCTAGACTCTGACTCTAAAGACCAAGGGTCATCGCTTGTGACATCCTGTTTGGGTTTGCAGCCAAACCCTAAATCTGAAACCCCTAAACCCTAAATCCTAAACCCTAAACCTCTACACCCCAAAACCCTAAATCCTAAACCCTAAACCCCTAAACCCTGAATCCTAAACCCTAAACCTCTACACCCCTGAACCCTAAATCCTAAACCCTAAACCTCTAGACCCCTAAACCCTAAATCCTAAACCCTAAACCTCTAAACCCCGAAACCCCTAAACCCTTCCCGGGGCTGGTGAGGTTTCTGCGCGAGACCCTGGGTTGGGGATGAGGCTCTCGGAGTACGGTTTAGGGTTTAGGAGTTAAGGGGTTTAGGGCTTAGGGTTTAGGGGTTTAGGGCTTAGGGCTTAGGGCTGAGGGCTTAGGGCTTAGGGTTAGGCTTTAGGGTTTGAGTTTCAAAAAACATGCCCCAAATGTGAGTTTTCCTCGCGCCTATGTGATGCGAAGCTTCTTGGGTGTCGAGCACAAAAGATGGAGCCATAGTCTAGAACATACATAATAAGATAAAACGACAAACGAAAATATGGCGCAGAAGTGAGCAAGGGCGTTCCATATCATGACAGGCATAGACACCCCAAACTCCCTAAACCTAAACCTGAACCTGCAATCGAAACCCGAAACCTCTTCTACAGAGTTCCAACACCCCCTACAGGACGCCATATAGCAAACCCTGAAAACGTAACCCCTACAGTACCCTTGTAGTAACCCCCAAAATAACCCTTGAACTCTGAACCCTCAACCCTAAGCATTACCATGTGGGGGTTGGTCAAAACCATGGACCCCTCTTGGTCCCCTAGAAATTAGACCCCACAAGAGCACACACCATTTTGATCAACCCCCATGTTTCTATGATAACTTCACAGTAGATTCCTAAACCCGAAACCCTAGACCATAAACTAAGCCCAGGTATACTTTGGAACCGCTGGACTACGATCTTCCCGGCTCCGGCACGCAGACGGTTTACCTTCTGAAGCCGTCTGGCCACTTCGGCACCAGTCGCTTTCTAAACACATACAAACGTGTATATATATATATATGTATATATATATATATATATAAATATATATGCACACCGCTACATAAATATAACTGCATGTGTGTGTATATGTATATATATATATGTATATATATATATATATATACATACATACACACATAGAGACTTCAATATAATTAATGGCTCATGTATCGTCGTACTCATGTGCTTAAAGGGCCATGTCACCCATGTCTACCTACCTACCTCCCTGCCTGCCTGGCTAGCTGCCTACCTACCTATTCAACACCTCTCGATGTACCTGCCATGTATCTGCCTAGATATGGGTGGTTGTCAAAATTACGCTCCCTATTTGGGTCCTTATTATCATACGTCACCTATTATTTAAGGTACCCCAAAAGGGGCCATACTTTTGACAACCACCCATATGCATGTCTATCCATCTATCCATCTTCCGACCTCCCGACTGGCTAGGAAGGTCGATGGCTAGGCAGAACAGATAGATACAGTCTTTAGACGGTTTAGGGTTTAGGGTTTAGGGTTTAGGGTTTAGGGGTTTAGGGGTTTAGGGTTTAGGGTTTAGGGTTTAGGGTAGGTCGATGGCTAGGCAGAACAGATAGATACAGTCTTTAGACGGTTTAGGGTTTAGGGTTTAGGGTTTAGGGTTTAGGGGTTTAGGGGTTTAGGGTTTAGGGTTTAGGGTTTAGGGTTTAGGGTAGGTCGATGGCTAGGCAGAACAGATAGATACAGTCTTTAGACGGTTTAGGGTTTAGGGTTTAGGGTTTAGGGTTTAGGGGTTTAGGGGTTTAGGGTTTAGGGTTTAGGGTTTAGGGTAGGTCGATGGCTAGGCAGAACAGATAGATACAGTCTTTAGACGGTTTAGGGTTTAGGGTTTAGGGTTTAGGGTTTAGGGTTTAGGGGTTTAGGGTTTAGGGTTTAGGGTTTAGGGTTTAGGGTAGGTCGATGGCTAGGCAGAACAGATAGATACAGTCTTTAGACGGTTTAGGGTTTAGGGGAAACTTTAGACGATAGATAGACAGATATACAGACAGGCAGGCACTAGGTAGATATCATGGAAAGGGACAGATACGGATAGCTGACAGTCTGCAAGCCAGAGTTTGGGCCGGGTGCCAACAACAGTCCGCAGTTTGGGGTTCCAGGATTCAGGGTTGTGTAGCTGCCAGTGTAGAAAATGGCTCTACTTGGAGGTTCATGGGTAGTTATGAGTGGGGTTACAAGTTATAATCCGTATTCGGGGACTTACAACTCCACTTATAACTACCCATGAACCTCCAAGTAGACACGGGTCGACACGGGTCAAGGATAGTGGAGGCCAGGCGAGGGGATGGGTTTCGGGGTTGGGGGTGGGCTATGTCTGGCTGTTACAGGTCGTAGTACTACAGCGACGGAGAAGGTAAGAGAACCGCGCATGTCTAGGATGAGAGGTTTCAAGCTCGACTTTTCGTCTTCCCGTGCAGTGGAAATTTCAACAGACTTTTTTCGGGGTTTATGGTTTTACGGTTTAGGGCTGCCAAGTTTAAACTACAGAGTCTTACAAGTTGTGGTGGAGACAAAGCATCTTTCGGGGTGCTCAATAAATAGAATAGAAACCCTGCTTAAAGGATCATGGGACTTAGTAAGTAGGTTATAATTGGGGGTTATAAGTCCCCTAAGTGGGGTTACCCTAATTATAACCTACTTATAACCTTACTTACTAAGTCCCATGAGCCTTCAAGTGGGTTTAGGGTTTAGAGTGTAGGTTTTGGGTCTTAGGGTGTAGGGCTTAAAGATCCTACAACCAAGCCCCAAACCTTAGCCAAGTAGGCAAACCCAAAATCCCAGGACCTGTCCGACGTCTTTGGGTCTTCTTTGGGGGGAATGCCATGCTGGCTGCTGACTGGCTAGCCTTCTGCCCGGCTCCCAGTTCTAGGGTTCAGGGCTTTATATAGGGGCCTCAATACTTAGAGTAGGGTTCCCTTTAAAGGATTCCTTTTAAAGGGGTCCTTTTGAAAGGGTTTCTAAAAGGGTTACTACAAGGGTTTAGAGAACAGGGGCTTGAATAATTAGAATATGGTTTTGGGACCCATTGTACTATTGTTATAAGAAGGACCCCACCAAAATAGTAGTGTAGGTCATTTTTTGAGGCCCTTTTGTAGGGTTTAGTTTAGGATTCATGCTTGCAGTCCGGGGGACTGTCACGAAGCGAGACGTCGGTTGGAGATGTGGGGAGTATTCAGCTTTCTGTTTTCGGCTTTGGGGGTCCAGGTTTACACAGCTTCAGTTCCTGAGATTCGAGGTTTGGGGGTGATAAAAATGTTGTTCAAGGATGTTTCTTCTCTTGTTTTTCTCATGTCATGTCTGTCACGCCCCTGACTTCTCATGGTATCTCACATGGGCCGCTTGAATCCTAAACCATTAGCCGGCTTCCTGGCCGTGGTCGAAACTTGGTCCAGGCTCTCTCAACAAATGCTGAAACCCCGAACTCAAAACGTGCTAAACCCTAGTCTATGAAGCTGGATTCAGCTAGATCGTCCTCCCAGCATTCCTTAATCCGTTTACGAGCTTGGCCTTACGTCTGACTCCCTCCTCCATTGAATCATCCTTTCTCCTTGTATGAGTTTAAGCTATATTCATAAATACTTTCAATACCCTGAACACCCTAATCACCAAGCCCGAAATGCTAAACCCTATACCGGATTAAACCAAAAAGCAAAAGCACTAGGTTCCTGAATAGTACCCTTCTGCCCTCTTTCTTTTTGGGTTCCCCCTGTCAAAATCCAAGAGGAGGAACAAGGGTACCCTTAGTATAAAGAGGCCACTCAGGAACCTAGTATAGTAGCCTCTAAAACGTAAAACCCTTATAGTACCCATTATAGTACCCTTATAGATCCCTTGAAAGGAACCGAGGCCCTAAAAGGCGACCTCAGCAGGTGACCACATCTTCACCGCCGTGGATGCTGGGAAGGGGGAGTGCCGCGTCAGGGAACGTCAGTGTTCTAGGATGCCCAGCAGTACCCTTATTCCCTTTTTGTAGTCCTAGGTTCCTTATAAAGTTACCCAATACCAAAAAGAGAGGCCTTTTTGTTCTTAGGTTACTGGGTATCCTAGTGTTCCTGGAGCTTGGGTTTATCGGGGGCCTCAAAAGGTAGGATGAAGGTAGGTGGGATATTCCCAAATAAGAGTCCTTATATAAGGGATCCTTAATCCCACCTACCTTCATCCCACCTCGTGAGGCTTCCGAGTTTATAGGGTTTCTGCGGTTAAGGGTTTGGGGGCAAAGGTGTAGGAGGGCAGGTCAGTGCCCATAGTGTTTATGTTCCAAGGGCGCGCAGGTGAAGATCATGGGGTCAGCACAGGGGCCTGACTAACAAGCGGGTTCTTGATTTAGAGTTTAGGGATTCGGGGGTATAGGGTAGGGAGTTTTAGGATTTGGGTTTTAATTGTAGGGTGATGGTTTGGTGTTTAGGATTCGGGGATCGAGGTTCTCGCGTAGTGGTTTTAGGGTTTTGGGGTTTGAAGGAATAATAGTAGTGAAGGGTTTCCTATACGATTGTTTTATAGCAGGAAAACACCCAGTTCATATTTCTACGGCAACTATATTAAAGTTTTCTCGGGTCGGTCAGATGCGGAGATACGAAAACCCGTGGGTGGACTCAACGCCGGCATTTCACAGGCATAGGCAGAGGGGTTAGAAGACTAGGGCTTCACGGACTTGAAGGGTTGTGTCAGGTGTTACATTTTTTTTTTTACAGGTGTCCTGATTTCAGAGGTTGATGAGGGCTCAGATTCGGATTCTATCGCGATTGGCGTCCTTATGTTGAGGGCAGCCTTACAAGCCCAACCTTTCAATGTCAAACCTCCATCATGCATCTGAAATCCTTAATCCCTGCTCCTTTCAACAGAAACCCTAACAGGACAAAAAACATGCGCTGATCAAGCTCTCTACACACTGGTGGTTGTCAAAATTATGGTCCTTTTTTTGGGAACCCTAAATATTAGGTGCCGTACTATATTAGGGACCCAAAAAGGGACCCCCATTTTGACAACTACCCACAACGTCCGAAGGCCGCCCGAAAATGCCACCCGAGAGCCCGAAGGCCTGAAGTGCGGAAGTCCTAAAATAGCCCTCAGTACCTACAGAAAGCAAGCTGGTATACTGTATATAATAAACTTAAATGGTACTGCAACGTATTATAATTCAGTATAGTATAGTCTAGAATGATATGGTATACTACCACAGTATACTCTAATCTAATATGATATTCCCATAAGCCCCCGACTCGACCCTTAACCGGAAACCCTTCGCATTCTATCTTCGGCAAGGACCGAGGTTGCTTTCCTTCTGGTCGACTACCCTGGCTACGGCCGTAACAAAGGCCCAGATTTGGGTGAAGAAGGTCTAATTGGAGGTGCATGGGTAGTTACAAGTGGGGTTAGAAGTAGGGTAACTTTAGTTGTAACCCACATAAAGGGGACTGAGAAACTCCACTTGAAACTACCCATGAACCTCCAAGTAGGGTGTTCGGGGCTTGGTGGCCTGTTCATGGTGTTCGAGGTTTGGGTTCGGGGGGGTTTAGGGTGTCCAGGGCCTCAACTTGCAGTTGCATGGTTTAGCTGGTTGTTCCAAGATGTGCTCCGTTGTTAGTGGCTGTGACGAGACTCTGTTGACAGAGTCGCCCTAAGCCCTAGACCCTATTCCTTAGACGTAACCCGCCACGAAAACCTTCAACCTATACCCTAAGCCCTCAACCCCCGACGCTTGTCCCCTAAACCTTTGAACCGCACACCCCAAACTAAACTCAGGGCTCGGTGCTTTTGTTTCTTTCAGGTTCTGGGGAGTCGGGGGGGCTTCGAGGGTTAATCTAGGCCGTTTAGGATAAGGGGCTTTAGGGTCCACCTTAATCCTGAATAACCTACTTTTTTAGGGTTCCTTATTATGATTTCTTTATATAAGTCCTCAAAAAGGTAGGTTTTTCCGGGTTAAGGCAGGGTTTAGGGTCTAGGAAGATGGAGTGCAGGGTTCAGCCAGCTAGTGCCCCGAACTTTACGATGCACTTGCAGAAGCCTTCAAAAAAGCGCCTGCAGGACCCCCACAAAAGCGCCTGCCGGACCCCATAGCCCTAGCTCAGGGCTCAGGGTTTAGGGTTTAGGGTGTGTAACAGTATGCGCGCGGTGGGTGCGCCTTTTACTTTAGGAATAGGGGGCGCACCCACTAATCGCGCGCTTGCGTCAGCATGTAGTCCCGCCCCAACCACCCCAACTATTCTCAATTAGGGTTTAGGGTTCACCCCCCAAACCCCCCTCAAGGGGGGCTTTCTTGCTCTCTGCTTCCTTTCGCAGCTTGACATGTAAACAACAATATTTCTCCACAAATCACTGCTGAAATGGTTTCTGTCGGGTTGTGGGTCCTCGCGGCCTGTGCCGGCCGCTCGACAAAAAGCACGGGTTTCCAACAAATTTCGCGCCCTATAAGGGCTGCTCGAAGTGTAGGGCAGGGCCGCAGGGCAGGCAGGGCAGGGGAGGGCAGGGCAGGGCAGGGCAGGGCAGGGTAAGGGCAGGGCAGGGCAAGGGCAGGGCAGGGCAGGGCAGGGGGAGGGCGGGGGCAGGGCAGGGCAAGGGCAGGGCAGGGAATTGCAATTTTTGTCCAGGTCCCCCCTGATTCCTTGAACTCTGCTCGTGGAGGCCGTGGACCCCGCCTGGGGGAGCCTTTTTGGCCCAATTATAACGGACTGACGTCCGTATTGTGTGAGGCGAGCCGAGTCATTTCCGTCCCCGTATACCGGGAGGCTTTACCCTCCCTCACCGTCTCGTCGGGACGCTCGGCCGGGGGCCTCGGTCGGAGCCTCGAGCGCCCATGCAAATGGTCAGCGGCGCTCTCGGCAGTTTAGGGTTTAGGGTTTAGGGCTTAGGGTTGAAAGCCGAAGACTACACCGTAAAGGGGCTACTTGGAGGGGCAGGGAACTTAGTAAGTAGGTTATAAGTAGAGTTATAAGTACCCAAAATGGAGTTACCACAATTATAACCCTACTTATAACCTACTTACTAAGTCCCCTGCCCCTCCAAGTACTGCACTTAAAAAAAGAAAGCCGACGAGTCGCAAAAAGATGTCTGCAAAGCTTTCAGTGATTCCGCGAGCTGCGAGGTGAAACTTCCCCGGAGTCTGTGCTCAGGACCTCCGTGTTGGCCGTGGCTGGGGCCTTGGAGTCAAGGCCTTGATGGGCCCTCGAAGCTCTTTGAGGGAGTAGGGGGGAGGGGGGCCTTAATACCTATAACAAGGACCTAATAAGGCCTATTTAAGGAAGTATGGCTCCAAGGTTGCAAGTATGGGCCCCTGATGTGGACCCTTAGGCCTTGTTGAGGGGGCTTCTAGGGACCCTTAAGAGTCTGTATAGGGTATACAGTAGGTATGTAAGGATCCATTCTAGGGACCCGTAAGAGTCTATATAGGGTATACAGTAGGTATATAAGGATTCGTTCTAGGGACCCTTAAGAGTCTATGTAGGGAATATGTAGGGAATATAGTATGTATGTAAGGATCCCAAGGTTAAGGGCCCATACTAGGGGTCCATGGTTTCAACCGCTGAGTGGGTCTCCAAGCTCTTTGAGGGGTTCAAGGTTCAGGGTCGTCTAATATAGGGGCCTGAATAATTAGAATAGGGCTCCCTTTGAAGGGTTCCTTGAAGGGTTCTATCAGGGATCTATAGTAGGGTTCTATAGTATAGGGGGCCTGAATAGTTAGAATAGGGTTTGAGGGTATATTACAAATTGTAGTTTTAATAAGGAAGCCCCAAAACCGAATTCTAATATATTCTAATTAATAGGGTCCCCTGCATTAGGGTCAGGGTCCATAATTTTCCGCCAACTTCGCGATTCGGGTGTTCAGGCCGTAGGGGGCCAGGACTTAGTGGGCAGTCGCTTGGGGGTCCGGCATACTACGGTTGATGATATAAATTCTGCATTACCCTTGAGGACCCGAAACTATGGGAATTCTGGCGTATTCCTTTTTTTATGGGTCATGCAGGATTTATATCATCAACCGTAGTACTATCCTAAGCGCTAGGCCCTGAACCCGTGAACCCTTAAATGGTAAGCCCTATAACTCTAGTCCGGCCTTGTGGGGCACTGTACCGCCTCGAAGGCAACATCCGGATGAGCTCGTTGAAACTTTGACGTGAGCTAGAGATCATGCAATGTGGAGATTTCTCAGAAATCAAGGGTTTTGGGGGCAGTCTGCGATAAGGATCAGGTGCACTGTCTGGGGGTTCAAACCCATGGAGTCCCCCAACGCTGATGTGTCGGGATAGTCGAAGGAAGGCGATGAACAACTTGTTGATCCGATTGCTGCCGGCTTTGGCAATGACCTTCCGAGACATCCGAGACCGGGGATGGGTGTCCATGAGCTTGGACATCTCAGATGCATATTTGACGGTGCAGCAGAACATTGACACCTGCATCCGCGTTCGAACATCCAGTGGGGAGCAGGGAATTCTTCAGATTGATAGTGATGCTCCCGGTTCAACGCGACGGTACCTTGATTTGGGCAGACGCTTTTGCATCTTTCCTGCAGGAGCATGCCTCCATCGAGACGTTTCCACAGCGCCTTGCGCTTTGCAGACCTGGAGTTTCTTGTAGTATTCCTACACCCGAAACCTCAAAGGGTCCGAAACCTCAAAGGGTCCGAAACCTCAAAGGGTCCGAAACCTCAAAGGGTCCATGAACCCTATACAACCTCATACAAGCTCTGTGCATCGCCCTGAACAACCCTGAACCCTAAACCCTTTGAAGCCCAAACCCCTAAGCCCTGACCTCTAAACCCGAAACCTTATAGAACCCTAAACCCTAAACCTGTCTGAAGCCCCCAGCCCCTAACTCCTAAACTCGAAACCCTAAACAACCCTGTAGAACCCTAGACCTTAAAAACCCCTACACCTTCTGAACTCTGAAGACCCAAGAAAAGAAGAGCCCTTCAGCGCAGCCCAGGGAGCAGCCCTGCGGCATCTTTCCGCTGAGGATGTCTCTGTGCACCTCCTCGGCCCCTGGGTCTACATACGGTTCGGGCTTAAGGTAAAAGCCAGAAAGTTGGAATATGATTATCCTAAACCCTTTATGGTAAATTATAGGGTATCCTACCCTGAAACCATATTCCAACCTTCTGGAGTTCCCTTTAAGGGTTTCAGGGTTTATGGCTTAGGGTTTAGGGTGTTTAGGATTTAGGGCTTGGGGCTAGCCTTCAGGGTTCAGGGTTTAGGGTCGAGTAAGGAATTGGGTTTCGGGTCTATGTGTCAGGATTCGGAATTAGGGTTTACGCGCCCCGGTTACTGCAAGGAGCACTCGAAGGGCTCCCTTCAGGCTAGCTACCACGGCCTACGATCAGGGTTCTACAATGGTTTAGGGCTCAGGGGGTAAATGCTTAGAGTTTCGGTCTGTGGAGTTTGTGCGTTTATAGTTGATTAACTTACATAGCTAACAGGGGAACTTTGTTTCAACTTTTGGGCCTCATATAGTAGCTTGATAACAGAAAGTTTGAACTTTTTTGGGGCCCGGTTGTTGAAGAAGAGAGTTAAGGATCTTTCACGGCTTAAGGTTTCAGGCTCAGGCTGCGGAGGATTAAGCGTGTTTTGGGCTTTCGGGTTCAGAGTGTAGGGTTACGCAGGGTTGCAGGTTTCGGTTTAGGAGTTTGCAGGGGCTTAGGGAATTAAAGTCGGGGCATGGGTGCAATATGTGTAATAAGGCTCTTCGGCGGGACGCTGCCGCCCGGTGTCTTGACACTGACACTGCGGCAGCCTTGAAGCAAGGGCTTCATTAGACTCCGTCGGAATCTTCTGCACTGCCTCAAACCGAAATGCGCAGCTATGGAGACCGCAGACGGTGGCGGCATTCTCGTACCGGCAGCTATTGTGGCCTTTCAATCATCTGTGAGTAATCTTTTCTAAAATCTCCTGAGGAATTTCTATTTATTTTTGTACATACAAAACCCAAGAGAATATTAAACATAATATTTTTATTATGGTACTAAAGGGGGTATAGTTTTAAGGGTGAGATTTCTTGAGTTGCCCTTAATGAACGGATGCTGGCGTCTCCGAGCACCACCCGAAACCTTAAACCTGACATACCCTCAAACTCAAACAAACCTAAAGCGGTTTAGGGTTTAAGGTTTAGGGTTTAGGGTTTGGGGAGCTTAAAATATCAGAAACCTACAATACCCTATACAACCACGAAAACTCACCCTCAATATGTATAGAGCGCTAGAAACAGCCTATACACCGTGTAATGTAGCGCCCTAACTAAGAAACCCTGGTCCTATAGCCACAAAAGACTGGATCCCTCAAAAGAGCCCCAATAGAATCGAAAGCCAAGGTTTCTTAATCAGGCTAAACCCTGAACCCCAAACCCCTAAACCGTAAACCCCTAAACCCTTAAACTCTAAACTCCTTAAGCCCCTAAATCCCTAAGCCCCTAAAACCCCTGAACCCTTGAACACTAAACCCCTAAACCCTAAACTCCATATCATTGTGTAAGGACACTCCCTGGGGGCGGCTGCTGCCTCGCAGCCGCGGGCCCAGAGAGCAAAGATTGGGACATGTTTGTTCGTGGTGCAGTTGCTTTGGGGTTCCGGATTCAAGGGTTTAAGGTTTAGGATTCAAGGGTTTCATAAAGGTTTAGGATTTAGGGGTTTCGCAGGGTGTTAGGGGTTTAGGGTTTAGGATTATAGGGTTTTGCGGTTTGGTCCGTGTAGGCTTTGGGGCTTTAGGACTTGAGGATTGAGTGTAGAATATGAGGCTTCGTTTTGTTGTTTGAGTTGGGGTTTGGAGCTTAGGCTTTGGGATTTAGGCCTTGAGGTTTGTGGTTTAGGTTGTGGGTTCTGGGCTTGGGGCAAGATTTCCGGCTTCTGTTCTTCTATTTCACATTTTACAGGCCTTTGGGGCTTAGATTTGAACTTGAGGAACAGGGTCTGGGATGAGAGGTTGTCTGCTTAGCATCAAGGGTTTACCGTGTCGAAATAGAGTTAAATCGCCCTGACCCTAGACCTTCGGGTCGTTTCAGAAATGGTTATTGCTATTGTAGCTATTACGATTACTACTGTTATCGTCTTTACAATTACTCAGACAGAATTAGGATTGTTATTGTTGTCATTGATATGGTCATCGTTGTCGTTATTGCTGCTGTTATGATTTGTCATGGAGGTGCTCGAAATGATGCTTTTGCAGTCGAGTTGCTCGACATGTCGACAGTCGTGGCGGGGCCGCTCTCCGGCTTGTCTGTGTGGCCTTCTAAATCCGTCAATGCTTGGCGAGCGGAGCGATTTTGGAGGTGCTGCTTAGCCATGAACCTGGAGAAGAACTCGCGAACAAACACGATTGAAACCAAGAATGGTTTCGGGTTTAGGGTTCCGAGTAAAGAGGTTTTGTTGCTGTGCCGGGCAGATCATGTTCGACCATACAATCGCGTTCCTTCCACGGTGCTGTGCACCTCTCGGAGTCCTAGTCGTCTTCACCGCGGTCCAGCGGTTCTTGAGCGAGGGATGCTCTTTCGCTCATTGTAGGGACACCGAATCCTAAAACCCGATACAACTCCTACTTGCCGAAACTTTATAGGACACAATGCAACCTTGAAAAGCTCAATACAGCTATACAAACCTGTACACCCTAAGTACTAACTACGTATTAAACGCCTTCTGAAGATTTGCTCGACCTTCATGACTCGGAGGTTGGCATCATCCTGGGATGCCTCGCTGCTACCTGCGGAGCTGAGACCGACACAAGAACCAGGCGGGGCTCAGCTTTGTTTTTGCTGAACCTTTTAAGGGTTTAGTCTTTTTCTTGTAATGGTTCTTCTGGGATTTTGATGTTCTTCTTTGCGGGTCTTATAGGTTGTTGAGTAGGGTAAGAGGCTTAGGTTGTTTCAGGTCTCAAAGGGCTTCAGGGTTTGGGCTGCGGGCAGGTTCGATCTTTTGGTGTTATAAGTTATCAGTTGGGTACGGCCCCGACTCAGAAATAGTTGAATAACATTCATATAGTACAGATATATTAGGACCTAAATAGTAGCCCTATCATAGACTCTTACTGTCAGGGGCAGTACCTAAGTCATCAGGCCTATAAGGGTCGTACTTGGGGAAGGCCCTACTTTTTGTGCACTGCCAGGCTAAGGGCCCGCAATCCTCCAGAAGGGTTTAGGGTTTAGGGTTTTCTGTTTCTGTGTTCTTGTCAAGAAGCTTAGTGTAAGTTACCGTTATGACTTTGAACAGGTGATACGATACAAGATATGCTTCAACTCCTATCGAAAGCCCTCGCACAACACAATTCCCACAACCAAAGGTTATGAAGCCAGGGTTCGGGTTCAGGGTGTGGAAAGCCATGCACTCACAGCGTCCAAGAGCCCCTTAATTCAGGAACACATGCCTTAAGTTACGCCCTGGCGTTAATTTACGGTAGCACCCTAAACTCTAAACCCTAAACCCTCTTAAGGAAAGGGTTTAGGAGCCTCTGTGTGCCAGGGACGCTCTTGCTCTCTGCACCCTTCCTGGACATCCCTGAGATGGCAGCACAGCTGCTCCGTCTTGTGTCGGGATGCTCAGGAAGGAGTGGGGTTTAGTTTAGGGATTTAGAGTTTAGGGTTTAGGGTGGCCAAGGGATCAGGTCTAGGATTCAGCATTGCCAGGGTTTAGGGCTAGGAAGCTAGGCAAGGGGGATGTGAGTAAGTTTTCCAGTCGCAGTTACAAGGAAGCAAAACTGCTGCGCTGACGACCAGGGACAACTCGCCGCGTACTCTAAACGCGTATAAGCTCTATACCAATTTGAACCAAGACTCTTGGCGTAAGGCTTCGTGAAACTTGAAGTTGTCCAGCTTGCAGCGCTCTTCGCTCAAGGTTTTTCTGACGACCACGGTGATTCGGGTGTTTGTATCTTTTGAACAGGATGTGTTAGGATTTGCACTTGGTTTTAAGTTCTAGGTTGAGGGCTTCAGAGTCCAAGAGGACCTTGTTTGCCCCGCTGCTTCAAGTAGGAGCCTACCAAGCAGGGGTCGGGATCAGCCTAAACCGCCTGAGCGCCTGAACCCGAAACCAGAGACCGAGCCAGTCATTTCAAGGCTGCAGCGGCTACTGCCCGCCGGATACTCGCTGTTGCTGGAGGTGGCACCATTGCAAGAGGCCTGGCGCAGACCCTCCGCGCTGAAGCCTAAACCTTCAGCCCCATATTGGGTGTTCGTGTTTTTGGCTTAAGCTTTAGCTAGTAGGGTTTCAATTACCTTTGTTTTTGCGTTTCGGGCGTTGGTATTTGTTCAGCAAGTTTGGTCGAGCAGCAGCAGTTCCATGATATTTTGCAGTTTGAATTCTGGCTCTCAGCCTCTGCTGTCTTCATCGCGGTAGCAGAAATTTCCGCAGAATCCTGTCCTGTCCTGCACCACAGTGAGAGCCTCTCTCCAAGGCCTAAAACTACTTTAGGGGCCTTAAAAAACCAACACTATTTTGCGGGCTCCTGATGATAAGTGTATGGCATAGTGGGCCCCAAAGCCCTATTGAAACTAATAAGGCCACCATATTAAGTATACCTTGGGCCACAAAAAACGCTGGGCCAGAAGGGTCCCACCTAGCATTGGATTCATTCCCAAGCCCTCCGCTCTTGCCCGCAAAGGATTACTTAAGCCTGAAGGCCACAAGGACATCACTCTCAGCCCCGTAAACTTTAGTAAAGGTTTTAGGGTTTAGGGGGCTTATAGAGTGTAGGGAAGGAAGCCCGGTATAGTCGTCTGCAACCTGAAAGAGCCACAATCCCGGAGCCCCTAGCCCGAAATTCCGAAGCCGTCAGAAATACAGCGGGCCCACTAGAGACATACAAATAGCTCAAGAAGGCGTGTGCAATTGTACATATGTATTATATATATATATATATATATACATGCAGTAGGGTTCAGCGTGTGTCCTGAGCCCCATATTGGCCCTACATCCCTAAACCCCAAGCCGCAAAACCTGACACCCAATCTTAAAACCCTAAACCATGCCTGCTGGACGGAAAAACGTGCTCAAAGAAAGAAACCTCTAAACCCCAAGCCCTAAACACAAAAAAATCCACTGATAAGCGCGTAAGCAGAGGCGCAGCTGGAAAAGCTGCAGCCAGCGTGGCAGCGCTTTAGCGATGCAGTGGCCAGGCGGACACCTTCGTAGTACCGTAAGGGCCTTAAAAATTAGAACAGGGTTTTGGGTGTTCCTTATTATGTTTATGGTACAATATACCCCAAAACCCTATTCTAGTTATTATAAGGCCCTCCATATTATTCTTATTCGCCTTGTCGCTCTCAATGGTCCTATGGTTGGCATCACCGTTTAATGATCATCGTCCGTGCCGTTATTCTTAAGTATGGTCGCTGTTTTGTGGAGAGTTGCCTTCATTTGAATTTATATAGTCTTTGCACTGCCACAACGTTTGTCTGAGAATTCCTCGTCCTTAGTTTTGTGTCTTCTGGTGCTGCTCTGTTGCTGCTGCTGTTGTTGTTGTTGTTGTTGTTGTTGTTGCAGTGGTCTTCATCGTCGTCGTTGTCGCTGCATGTTGTGCTGTTGCACTTGTCGACTGCTGCTGCTACTCCTGCTTCTTCCACTAGACTTGCTGTTTGATCCGCAAGGAGATTCAATCTTGCTGAATGTCGGAATGCCCAGAAGTTATAGGGTGCAGTGCCTCATCCATATCGGATTCAGGGACTCTCAGTTTGTGCCGGATTTCCTTCGACTCGCATTTTCGGGTCCTAACCTGGATTGCAATAGCCGATGAAAAGAATCGCACGACATCCTGGAGCGCGGAACCCCTGAACCCCAAAACCCTGGAACCCCTAAGCCGTGTATGCCTAAGACCTACAGAACTACTGCTTGCAAGGCCTAAGAACCCTGAACGTTTAGGGCTCTATGATTTTAAAGGTGCAGGTTTGAAGCTTCAGGGTTTAGGGGGTGACGAAGGATGCGTTTCTTGTCACTTGCTGGTCGTATGCACTGTTGCTTTCAGTGCGACCTTTTGGTTTTCCTAAGTCCTTACTAACCCAAAACCCTAAACCCTAAACTTGGTTTTTTAAGTCCTTAGCAGGTATGGGCGCCCGGCATTGGTGGCGTTACTGTGCCTGGGCGGCAACTCTTCGATCCCAACACCTAACCTTTAAACTTTTTGGGTTCTTGTGGTCTAGTAGGAACCTTGTATTTCTGTGGCTTATTGGGGTAGTAAGAACTGAAGCTTCATGATGTCGTCTTTGCAAACCCAAACCCTCGCCTGAAACGGTTAGGGTTTAGGTTAAAGTTTGAATGAACCCTACACCCTGAGCCCTGAAAATCGTCTTATCTGCAGCGGTAGCTCTTCCTGAGTGTGAATCCGGCTTGCTGGCCCTGAGGCCTGCGACCTTGAACCCCTATTAAAGTTTCCGAGGGCAAACGTTGCCCCCACGATCAATGCATATCCCTAGTGAACAGCCCGACGAAAAATTCTTTTAGCTCCCTACATCACAGGCAACTTCATCGAGGGATAAGTGCTAGGATGAGGGTTATCGCAGCGAGTTCCGGAGCTAAGAGCCATGATGAGGCTTGCATGTGGTTGAGGGTTTATCGTTTGCGTCTGGGGGATTCAGATTGAGGAAGTTTAGGGTCTACATAACAGCTACGGCTTGCGACGGTTCTTGTAAAAGGTTCAGTGGTTTCGGGGTTTAGGGTTTGGTGCTGTGTTGCAACTTATAGAGAACCCGTTTGAGTTCAAATTAGTTTTGTGAACCTTCCGTACGAGACCTAGAAAGCCTGCTGAACCTATAAGCCCAAACTTAAGTATTGTTTACAGACCTCAGACCCCAAATAGGTACGCACCATCTATTTACATGCACACACATACACGGAGTATACAAACACATATCTGTGTGTATATACATACATATATATATATATATATATGCGTGTATACAGCATATGTATGTATGTATGTATATATATATATATATATATATATATATATATTTATACCGTAGAAGCCCAACAGTTGGAAACCCAATAGCCTCAGTCCTTACGAGTAATGCATAGGGAATCCCAGCACTATTTGGCCTTTGTCCGGCTTCCAACTTTTTGGGGTTTTACTGTATATACATCATACATACGTACATACATACATACACACGTACTTGTCTTTACAGTCATACTTGTATTTGCGTTTGTTTTAAGTTTACATTTATACACACACATACACCCACACCCACACACACAAACACACGAGCACACGAGGAGCTTTGAAGGATAAGGCAAAAGGCACCCCTCCTGAGGCGGCCAATTGTTCCGCACCGCTGGAACAATGTCCGCGCCGTGAAGAAAGCGGCAGAGGTGGACACATCAGGGCTTGTTGGTTTATAGTACTCGTCTGGGGTCTCAACTTGGGTGTCTTTTCGAGAACCCTGAAGACTGACCGGCCCCAAACTCCCGAAGCCACCCCGCATTCAATACGGTTTAGGGTTTAGGGTTTAGGGTTTTTATGGTTTGTGACCCCGCCAAAGCTTCGCCCATGCAGGGCAATGGAACCCCAAAAAGCTCAAAATCCAGTAGCTCTGCCGCAAAGTCTCCACAAGCCTATACCCTAAACCCCAAACGGAAAGAGGTTTAGGGTTGCAGGGTTCAGAGGTTGGGAGTTTGGACGGCTTTAGGTTTAGAGCTCGGGCTTTGCAGGGCGTCTCGGGGCTTTGGGGTAAGTGGGTTAGGGTTTATAGGTTGTACGGTGGTTCGTGTTTTAGGCTTTTCTGGAATCCGAAACCCAGGGCTCAAGGGTCTACATATGCAAGTTCAGTGTTTGGGGTTCTGCGTTTAAGGGTTCGGACTAGGGGGGTTGTTGGTGCATTTAGGGTCCCTTGAACCCCTGGTACTACTGCTGATGACCGCAACCCAGCCCTGCTTAGAGGATCATGGGACTTAGTAAGTAAGGCAAAAGCCGGAAAGTTGGAATATGATTATCCGAACCCTTCTATGGTAAATTATAGGGTATCCTACCCTGAAACCATATTCCAACTTTCTGGAGCTCCCTTTATGGCTATAAGTACCCTACGTATTGCCCTAATTGGCATTATACGTAATTATAGCTACATGACATGTGCCTCTTTTATAGCCCTGGTCACCAACTGCCATGGTTCTCTAAGCCCTAAGCCCGCGGAACCCTAAACCCTAGACGTTTATTGAGCCAAATCCTTAACCCCCTAAACCCCTAAGCCCTAAACCCCAGATCCCCGAAACCCTAAACCCTACACCCCCCCTAAACCCCTAAAGCCCAAACTAAAGGCTAAATCCTAAAACCCAACCCTGCCAGAGCCTGGGACCGAGGCGGGCTGGAAGGTTCATGTGCTCCACGGGGCTCAGGCAGGGGGTTTAGGGCTTGGGTTTAGGGTGCTTAGGGCTTCAGGGTCTAGGGTTTGGGATGTTTAGGGCTTGCGGTGTAGGGGTCTAGTGTTTCGGGTTCAGGTTTTGGGGTTTAAGTTTAGGGTGTTTACGGCTTTGGGTTTGGGGGTTCAGGGTTTTCCTGTTCAGGTTTTAGGGTTAAGGGTGATCCCCCTGCTTCCTTGCGGGCTGGGGCGGGGGGTTGAGGTTTTTAAGCTATAGGGCCAAAGTGCAGGGGAATATCGTGTACTTCAACTGGAACTCGTATCTCAGTGCCGGTGAGGACACAAACGCTAGATTAAACCCTAAACCCTAACCGTGCCCTAACCCCTCAACCCCTAACCCTTAACCCCGTCACCCTAACCCCTAAATCCTAACCCCTAAACTTTAGACACTTCAACCTTAAACCCCTGAACACCAACCCATAAACCTTAACCCCTTTGGATGTCGAAAGGCAAAGGGCTTCAATGAATGTGGCAACCTTTTCGCGCACATTGGTACATATAGCCTTACTTAGACAGTCATGCGACTCAGTAACTAGGGTTATAGGGAAGGTAACTATGCTTATAATTACTTATAGCGGCTTTCAAGGCCGGAGACCCTGGTGTGGACCATCCAAAACTTCATCCGATCTTGCACTGAGAGAGTGAGAGAGAGAGAGAGAGAGAGAGAGAGAGAGAGAGAGAGAGAGAGAGAGAGAGAGAGAGAGAGAGAGAGAGAGATCTTGTTAACAAGAAGCCACTACTTAGCAAATGCTTTGCAGTAGTGGGATATCGAGGCGACTGGAAATATCATATTGCAACGTGCGGGTACACTCAACATTGGAAAGCGCTAAAGATTTGTGCCGAATGCACGGCTGCGATAACTCCCACGGCCGGGTGCTTTACGCTGATTGTGGCAGACCCGAAAAAGAAGTAAGGACATCATTGCGAACCTCATGGGCAGAAGCCCGTGCCCACTTCTACTATTTCCTGGATTTCACAAGGACATTGTGCGGTTTTGCTCCATGCATACGCTGAATCTAGGCCTACTGCAAACGCTAGTGGCCGAAGGCCTGCTGTGGCTGTGCCAGAATGATGTGTTTCCTGGCGGCGAGCTGGATGATTAGTTATGCTGCTGTTGCAATGGCGTTAAAGGCATTGGTTCGCCGTGGCGGGTGGTCTGCTCGCAGAGGGGCTTCAATTCTTCATCTTTGCATCTGAAAGAAGACGACTACATTTTTTGGATGAGTTGCAAGGCTTACAACTGCCGATCTTGGCGCGGCTCGATGATGCCGGTCGACAATGTCAAGATATATGGGGTTCGTTGGGTTTTTATTCGGGTTCCTGCAGATTTTAGAGGTGCTTAGGGTTTAGGGTTTCAGGGCTTGGAAGCTTGGGGCGTTACGGCTCCAGACCTTTAGGGCATTGGGGCTTCAGGGTTTAGGTTGGTAGGCTTTTTCGGGTTGCCCTTGCCACTGAGTAGCACTTCAGCTGTATCTTGGTAACAACATCCCGCTAGTGTCCTTATCTACGTCAGCCATCGTATACCCCAGTACTACTCTATATACTAAACCACACCCTTAAACCACAAACGTAGTTTGAGCATTAAGTCTCCCATCTGACTTACCAAACTCTGCTGAACTAACCGACCACTGTCGCGAAGTTTGTTGAGTTTTGGCTTCAGGACCCTAACATCCAAACACGAACCCGGACCCACTACCAACAAATCTACACATGTAGCCCTAGGCCTTAAACCTAGATCTACTTAAAGGATCATGGGACTTAGTAAGTAGGTTATAATTGGGGTTATAAGTCCCCTAAGTGGGGTTACCATAATTATAACCTACTTATAACCTTACTTACTAAGTCCCATGAGCCTTCAAGTAGTTTAAGAAGTTGGCTTCTGGAGGCGCAAAAAGGCTCAAGGTCTGTTGTTGGGGGTGTAGCTAGGTAGGGCTTTGGGACATTTTATATTTTTGTCCTTATTGGGCTTAAGAGGATCGTATTTACTAATATTTTTCAAAGGCTCTAAAAGCCCCACCTAGGTAGCGTTGGGGGTTTAGAGTTTTGGTCTGTGAATTGGTTGGACTCTGGGGGTTGTCCTGCATGGCCCCGTAAGAGGCTGAACCATGATAACTACTATCCCAGTGTAATCCCTAGATAATTGTCTTGAAATGTACCCAAAACCCGTTCATTTTTTGGAGGCTTCTGTTTTTTCTGAATTATGCATTCTCCAAGCCCTGTAAATTCTACACCAGCCTCGAGCACGACAAGCCCAAACCTTCGGGTGTGAACCCGGAGGACGAGCTGATACCGCCCGAGATGGGTCGTCAGCTAGCAAGCCTCGCCTGTGAGGCACGCGTAATTGTAAGAAAAGGCTTAAAAGGTCTATTTTCGCGGTGTCCTGGGCTGCATGTTTCAGGTTTAGGGGGTCGGCATTTCCAGCGACTGGCATTAACTACACATGCCGGTTTGAGGGCCATATCCGACAGGTTGGTAGCATTGGGGACTGGAAAGATCTGCCCAGGCCCAGTTGATTGGTCCGGTCCCAGGGACAAGATATGCTGAAATTCTGCCGTTTGGTGTTCTGGCGTGCTTCCTTTAGCTGCTAAGCTTCGAGGTCCGAGTGCGAAGCTCTAACATCGACGCCTGAAAATGTGTAGCGATGTCACAAGTTTTCGTCCATGCATTCATATTCATATTGTAACATACCCCAAACCCATAATCATTGAGGCCCTTCTTGACATCGTACAAATGGGGATGGGGCCGGATCAGCTCCAGTGCCTTGTGTTGTGCACTTCTGATGCCGTTAGCGCGCTTTTGGGATTCGAGGCTTTTGGGTTATACCCTAAATCCTAAACCCTGAAAGCCCTAAACCCTAAATCCCAAGCCCGAAAAGCCCTAAACCCTGAACCCTAGCGATTTTTTCAAGCTGCCATGCGCTCCCGACTGTACGTCGAAGGAGGCAGTTTAACTGGCACAGAGGGTTTAGGGTTTACGGTTGTGACGGCTAATATAGGGGCCGAAGTAATTGCTAATACTATTTTGGGGGTTCCTTATTATAATTTAATCTAACTGGCCCCCGAACCCTATTCTAGTTATTAAAGCCCGTTGTTTAACAGCCTTTGCTTTCATAAGGCTTACAAACAGGCTCCGATGAGTACGGCCCCTCAGCAGTTGATTAAATCAGGAGCCTGCTTTGTTACAAACCCACGATGTACCCGAAATCACCCTGCAAACTGAGATTTCTTTAAAGAAGCTGAGACCTTGGCCCTTCAAACTCTAGGCAACCCTGATGAATTCCTCCTAAACCCTAAGCTTAGAAATATTTTTATTTTTGGTTTTTATAACCCCTAAGAAACAGCTAAAATTATAATTTTTGCTAGGGTTCTAAGTTCGGTATAGTAAACCCTAAACCCTAAACCGTGGTTCAACGGGTTTGAGGAGTTCGGCGCGAAGGCTCGAGGACAAGCAGGGCTCCCCGAAGCGTCCGAAACCCTACATCCGGAACCTCCCCAAACCCTAACTTAGGGCGGTTTAGGTTCAGGGTTCTGGCTTTTGGGGGTCTTTTGGTTTAGAGTTTTGTTTCCTAGATAGCGAACGGGGGTACTTTAAACGTTTTGGCCATATATATATATAATATATATATATATATATATATATATATATATATATATATATATATATATATTAGCTCTATCTTCTAAAGTTTGAACTTTTTGGGGCCCGGTTGTTGAAGAAGGGAGCTGAAGGCTAAAGCCCTTCAACCCCAAACTCCCCGAGCCCTGAAGGCCAAATTTAGGCAAATCCTGGACCCTAAACCCTAAACTCTAAACCCTAAACCCTAAACCCTAGACCCTAAACCCTAGACCCTAAACCCTAGACCCTAAACCCCCAACCCTAAACCCTATAGACCCCTAGGCTCCTAAACGCCGAAGCCCTGACTCACTCTAAACCCTAAACCCCCCAGACCCGGAACGCGCGAAATCCAACGGCCAGGCTATGGGCAGCAGCAGCCGCGTCTTTGAGGAAATCCCGAGAGCAGGCCGGATCCCTTCACTGGTTCTCTAAATGGGAGTTTCAGAAAATAGGGGACCCTAAGATAGTACCCTTTATAGTAGGATCCTTATTATAAGGACCCCAAAATAAGGTGCCCTAATTTTCGGAAACGTCTAAATCAGTTTGTGGAGTCGTAGAGGGCTCATCAGAGGGTTCTATGGGGGTTGCGAAGGTACAGGGTACAGCTGATGACTGTGGAGGTTTAGAGGTTTTGTCTTTATAGGGCTGCAGGCTTAGAGTGGATCTGGGGCAACCCCGAACCCTTTCCGTAAGGGATCTATAATGAGAGTTGGGGAGTCTTGCATTATCACCCTTGAAAGAGGGTTTGGAGATGAGTGGGTTGCAGGGCTCTGCTGCCAAGGGCCTCAGGGTTGAGGTTTTAGGTTGTCTGGTTACGGTTGCAGTGAGTTTGTTTCCAGCAAGACTTATTTATAAACTTAGATCCCCACTACCTAACCTTGAAACTTTTGGGCTCTTATAGTTTAGTAGGATTAGGAAAGTTTAACCTTTAATTTCTGTGGCTTATTGGGGTAGTAAGTAAACTAGGATGCCCAATAGTACCCTTATTCCCTTTTTGTAGTCCTAGGTTCCTTATAAAGCTACCCAATACCAAAAAGAGAGGCCTTTTTATTCTTAGGTTACTGGGTATCCTAGCCCAACCCTAAACTCTAAACCCCTTATCCCCTAATCCCTGATCCCCCAAAAACCCTAAACCCAAAAGTATCCTAGTAAAAGTCACTGTAGCCAACCAGCCTTAGAGCCGAGTGAAGACTGCTAGGCCGAGTGAAGACCACTACATCTGCATGTTGTATACCGTATAGGGAACTCCAGAAAGTTGGAGGGTTGCCTTTTGGGGTTTAGGGTTTAGGGGTTTAGGGTTTAGGGGTTTAGGGGTTTAGGGTTTAGGGGTGTGTCACAGTGCCACGGCGCGCCCCACCCATGGAGTGGTCGTGGGTCGCGCCGTCTTCGTAACGTGGAACCCACCCACAACCACCCGAAGCAGGACTAGAACGGGTTTTGTGTTCTGCTTCTTCTTATTCGAGTGCTGCACTAGCCGAAAAGACGTTGCAATGTTGCGGAACGTCAAAGGGACATCCGAGTGATGTAGTCACAAAATAGCAGCGACGCCCTCGCTCGTCCTCGCCGGCCGCCAGAGTCGTCCGTCAGCCGTCGTCAGAGGCGTCCGTCAGGGCCCAGTGCCAGGCCTCCAGAAGTGGTCTGCAGCCGTCCGGTGTCCGTGCCAGTCCGGCCAAGAGTGCTGATCATCCAGTCGGCCGCCGGTGTTTTTTCGCCCGGCAGTCCGTGCCAGAATTGTCCAGCTTTGCCGCCAGACTCGCACTCCAAGCTCCTTGCCAGAGTCGGCCACTGTCCCCAAGCTCTTTCTAGGACGTCCCGTCACTGGCTCTTAGTTGCTGTCAAAGCCAAGTGCCCGCCAGAGTGTCCGCCGTCCCCGTTAGGGTTGCCCGCCGTCCCCGCCAGGGTCGTCCGTCTGCCAAACTGTTTTTGGCCTTTTCGTGCCTGTCAAAGTCATGGCCAAGTCGCCACCAGAGTTGTCCGCCGTCCCCGCAATTCACCAGAGTCGTCTGCCAAGCTGTTTTTGGCCTTTTCAGTTGCTGTCACAGCAGAGTCGTCCGCCGTCCCTGCCACGCCGTCCCCACCAGGGTCGCGCGCCGTCCCCGCCAAAGTCGTCCGTCCACCAAGTCCCCCAGAGTCGTCTGCCAAGCTGTTTTGGGCTTTTTCACTCCCTGTCAGAGTCGCCAAGTCCCCGCCAGAGTCGTCCGCCGTCCCCGCCAGGGTCGCCCGCCGTCCCCGCCAGGGTCGTCCGCCGTCCCCCTCCAGAGTCGTCTGCCAAGCTAATTTTGCTGTCACAGCAGAGTCGTCCGCCGTCCCCGCCAGGGTTGCCCGCCGTCCCCGCCAGGGTCGCGCGCCGTCCCCGCCAAAGTCGTCCGTCCACCAAGTCCCCGCCAGGGTCGTCAGCCGTCCCCGCCAGAGTCGCCCGCCATACCCGCCAGGGTCGCTCGTCAAGCTCTTTCTACCAGGTCCCGTCCCCGCCAGGGTTCTCGCGCTGGGAGATAAGGGTACCCAATTTTACTATTGTGCCCCATGGCTAGCAGTGCCAAATCAGGTCTGGTAGACTCGATCTGCTTGGCCAAGCAAGCAGATCTCGAAGCGGTAGCGTTCAGTGGTACCGGCCGCCGCCGGGCGCGGGCGGCCAATGGTTTAGGGGTTTAGGGGTTTAGGGTTTATAGGGAACTCCAGAAAGTTTGAATATGGTTTCATGGTAGGATACCCTATAATTTACCATAGAAGGGTTAGGATAATCATATTCCAAGTATCTGGCTTTTACCTTAAGCCTGAACCCCCCAAGCTTGAAGCCCACAAAGCACCAAAATCGCGGAATCTGCCACAAGCTTCAACTGCAACCTTTTTGAGAAACCATTTCGGCGTACCCCTGGATTATCTGGGCTTTTGGGCCTCGGAGCCGCGAACTGGGGGAGCCTTTAAAACCCTGATCTTGAAATATAAAATCCCAATGAATCAGGTTTGCAGCAATGCGGCCTCATGGTGTCAGAAGGAAGAGGCTAGTAGCCTGCCCACCTACTCGTGCAAAACATTTTTGCGGAAGGCATCCGCCGGACTTGAAACCCATCGCGACGACATGGGCATGGCTGCGGAAGAGACTCTGCACGAACGGTCGGGGCAACTCCAAAAACGGTGTCGCTTTCAAGGGGGCCTCCCGGCGATCTTGTCCTCTAAGCAGCAGGCAGCGGGCAGAGGCCATCGCGGGCTGCAAGGCGGAGGATGTCCACAAGACTTGCCTGCCATTGCCCGGGCGAAGTCGCACCATACCTTCACACAGACGTGCCTTGCTGCAGCTGTCGGCGTTGGAACTCATGCTGTCGGCATGATAGAGTTGAATCCCCGTATGAGGTGCGTTGACACTTCGAGTTTGAAACTCCCGCTTAGTATAAGACCTCATCGTATTAATCCTTCAATAGGGTGTTGGGGATTAAGTATAGGACGAATATATTTTGGAAGCCGAAGGAACAGTATTGGTAATTTTTCAGGCTCTTATATTAGGTGTTTAGGTTTTAGGGACTTAGGGTAGCCAGACTGAGAATTCGAATGCGAGTGTCAATTGGCGGGAGGGCTTTTAGAAGCCTGATTCGATGAAGAACTCTGTAGACCCCCTTCGGAGGACCCTGATAGAAGCTGTGCAATTGTATTCGTCAATTAAAGAAGTTCAGAAATGTGCAATCAAGCAAGTTTGTGTGGTGCGCAGACGAGAAGCAGGTGTTTTTTGCGTTTGGGCTCGTGTCGTGTCAGCCTTTCCCTCTGTGAATTTAGTGGCTGCTGAATGGCTGAGTTAGACTGTTAGACCCCAAAACCCGAATGCCCACCACCACCCAGAGACTCCAATATCCCTTGATTAATGAATATACCTTAAATCATATAAGAGATCCTACTATACTTTAAGGTATATTCCTTAATTAAGGGATATTGGAGTCTCTGAGCGGGACAACCCAGCTCCAAAACCGTCAGCCCGACTGCAACTCCAATGTTCTCGGGGGTCTCAGGCCACAATGACGTGGTGTCCAAGGGCTTCGAGTCCTATGTGAAGGTCATGGGCTTGCTGAGGAGCTGAAAAGACAGTGCAGTAACCGAAGTAGACACATAGGGCATAGGAGTGGCACTGTTGATGTTTTCTTGGCATGGTTGTCACCGCCAATAGTTTTGTTAACGACTGTTGTTGCTGCTGCTTCGGCCATCGTGATTGTGGTTGGGGTTGAACAGCTGTTGATTGGTTGGTTGGCTGTTGGTCAGTTGGTCAGTTGGTGGATCTACCCATTCACTCATGCACTCACTCATTCACTCGCTCTCTCACTCACGCAATATCGAGCAAACGAGCCAACAAACTACCATTGCCACGGCGGCGATGGCGGTCTCGGCAACCGAGACGACTGCCATTCCGCGGTGATGCTGTTCTTGCTAGTAGCTAGTGACAGTGTATGGGTGCCGTTTCTATCATCAGCCTTGCATTGTTATCAGAGATACGTCGTGGGCAGCTGAGCGTTTTTGCGCCTCACCACTGTGTGTTCTGCTCTGCATAGGCATAGGCCATTGCAAACACAAGCTCATGACCTGAGACCACTCGCTCCATGCTGGGGCTCGGAGGCTATCCGAGGCCATCATGTAATCTAGGATGCCCAGTAGTACCCTTATTCCCTTTTTGTAGTCCTAGGTTCCTGATAAAGTTACCCAATACCAAAAAGAGAGGCCTTTTTATTCTTAGGTTACTGGGTATCCTAGTGATCGTACCTGCATAACTACCGATATCATTCCTGAGGGTGCCTCTTGCATAATTATCGCAACTGTACAGTACTGCAACACCTGCGTTAAGTCATAGTAAAGGCCATTATGTTGGCTTGCAACATTTCGTGTTCAGGGCTTTGCATCGTGGAGTTTTGTGCGGTGCTTTCACTATCCAGGCTGACAGAATCATGGGACCGTTCTTGCAGTGTGTGTGTGTGTGTGTGTATGTGTGTGTGTGTGCGCGTGCGTGCGTGCGTGCGTGCGTCTGTGTGTGAGCATTGGTACAACTCCGATACGTGCGTCGCACTCAACTTTGGGCAGTGGTGGCTCAGGACACTTTATACATTTTCCAGGGGCGTTGAGCACAATAAACTCAATAAGCCCTAAACCCTAAACCCTAAACTCAATAAGCCCTAAACCCTAAACCCTAAACTCAATAAGCCCTAAACCCTAAACCCTAAACTATAAACCCTAAACCCTAAACCCTAAAGCCCTAAACCCTAAGTCCGAGGAACCAGCCGGAAGCCCCAGCATGAGTTTCACACGTGATGTAGCCGTTCGCCTAATGCAGTGAGTGCGAGCGCGGATGAAAAGAGGGGGTTGTTCTCCAACTGAGTGGGGTGTTTCTGGACTTCTTAACTGTCTGTTCATCAAATGAGGTTATGCCCTAAACCCTAAACCCTAAACCCTAAACCCTAAACCCTAAACCCTAAACCCTAAACCCTAAACCCTAACCCTAGAGAGTACTGGACTTCAGGGTTTCGGTCTTTGGTTTAGGTTTTTCAGGACCTGGTTTAGAGCTTCGATCTGGGGTTCAGTCTCAGGGCCTGGCGGCTCTAAACCCTGAAGCCTAAGGCCCCTCACTAGAAGAAACCCTAAGCCCTAAACCCCATACTCCTAAACCATAGAATCCCAAACCCTAAACCCCATACTCCTAAACCATAGAATCCCAAACCCTAAACCCCATACCTCTAAACCATAGAATCCTAAACCTCAAACTCCTGAACCATAGAGCCCTAGAGACCTAAACCCTAAAGCCGAAGCACTGGGGCAACTGAGGCACGATGCAAGGGCTCGGAGGGAGATTAGCGGCGGTCTAAGTTCGGATCTGAGGCTTAGTGCTGATGGCTTGGGGTTTAGGGTTTAGGACTTAAGGGCTTGTGGTTCTTAGGATTTCGTTTCGGGTGTAAGGTTTAGGATCTGAGGGCTTGAAGTTTTGGTTTAGGATTTAGAATGATCTAGGGTTTAAGGTTTAGGGCTTGTGGTCTACGGTTGAGGGTTTTTGGTTTGGGGTTCAGGGTCCTCTTTGCGGTCCGTATGAAATGTGTGACGCCTTCTTTTCGACTTACAGAGCCTCTCATTGGGGTTCTAGGATTAATGATTCCTAGGATGCCCAGTAGTACCCTTATTCCCTTTTTGTAGTCCTAGGTTCCTGATAAAGTTACCCAATACCAAAAAGAGAGGCCTTTTTATTCTTAGGTTACTGGGTATCCTAGATTCTATGTGTCTACATGCAAGGTTTGCAAGGTTTAGAGTTCCAGTGCGCAGTTTAGCAGCCTAAGCCCTTACCGCAACAAAAGTACATGCACCATTTGCTATACTCCCCTAAACCCTAAACCCTAAACCCTAAACCCAGGTATTGGCCCTGTGCCGAGGTTCACGGACTGTGAGAGGCCTCGTTTGAAGCCGAAGCTCGAACATGGTGTAGTTTTCAGGGGAACCGTTTTACCCGAGCTAGCACCGAGCCGGGATTTACAAAAGCTTACAGGCTAGGATTCCTGGAATTCAGTTTAAGGAGGTTTGTAGGGTTTTGGGGTTTAAAGGCTTCTGATCCTAAACAACCGTAGACAGGTGGATGGGGTCTACAAGCGCACCCGGGTCGAGACGGCGGAGGCGGCTTGTGGGGTGAGGTTGGATATTTACCTAGAACAACCAAGGTACCTTTTGAAAAGGTGCATGGACCAGACCAGACGTTACGTAACGTTACCAATGCTGTTTCTTAGGGTTCCTTTAATGAACTACCTCTACAATGTGCACCCAAAAGCCCTGTCGAAGTTTTTAAGGCCTTCAAACCCTTTGAAACACAGTAGGTTTAGGGTGTTGAGGCGTTTAGGGTTTAAGGTATGATATGCCTTCATCGCCTTTGTCTTAGGCAAGTAAGTATCTACATTTAACTATCGATACCCTGCTGGGAACTTATAGCTTGACTTACATATGTATGCACTAACATTGATGTCACACTTGGTCGCATAGTCTTGGAGCACATGATGAAGCTATCGAGCCTGCAGCGCGGCTCGCGACAGGCAACACGGTTGACAGCTTAAGGGTTCAGGGTCCTCAGTTCATGGTTTGAGTGTTGAGAGTTTAAGGTTTTAGGGGTCAGGGATATGCAGACAAACGAACAGCATTCACTGTCGGCAGTGACTGCAATGAGAGGCTTCGAAAGCTAAGGAAGTGCGTAACCCTAAGCCCTAAAACCCTATCATGTGGATCCTACGGCAGCAAAGATATCCCCCATGTTCGCAAAGCCTCCCTTTAGAAGCCCACGTGCGGCCCTTACACGCAAACACTCCTGTAAAGAACACAGACATCGTAAGCCTCATTATTGAAGAACCATACAGTATTATTATAAGGTGCCTTGTTGCACGTATACTAATCTCGACCCGGACCCCAGTATTCCAGCTTTTGAGACCCCCGTACCCCTGTAATACTACATATAGTCTACTACTCACAATGTAGAACCCTTACAACAACCCTGTAATTCAAGGAACTCACCTACAATCCCTAGACCTTTTCTGGAACCCTTACCCCATATACACACCCGAAGCCCCAAACCCTAGACCCCATACCTTTTAAACCGTATAAGACCGCTTGAAAGGAATCCCCATGCAACTTCTTAGGCCCCTGGCATCCCTTGACTCCCTCTGGAACCTTTATCGTAGCCCTGTAATGCCCTGTATAGACACCCCAACCCTATAGACCCTCAACCCTAACCGATAGCACTCAAACCCGGGAGCAGCCCTGTAGACAGCTTAAACCCGAAACTCCTAAACTAGGACCTAGAGTAGGCCCTTATTCCCTTTTTTAGGGTTCAGCTTCCCTTATAAGCCCCTTTAAACCAAAAAGGGCACCCTCTCTATTCCTAGGTTACTCTTGGGTCTAGTAAACCCTAAGCTCTGTAGAATTCCTACAGGAGTCCAAACCCCTAAAGTAGCCCTCAAGACACCTGCAGGAGGCTGCTGTGCGGAGAGACCTCGAGGTCGCACCATGGGGTCGAGTCCGAGGATATATAATGCAGTACAGAGTATAGAAGTCTATAGAATTTACACTTACCTGTCACGTCTACTATATAGCATATCGTCCGAGGTTCTCAAATAAGTGTAGGAGTGATGTGCTTGAGGGCTTTAGGGGCGGTTTGGGGATTCATGCCTTTTTTGATATCCCATGGTTCTACTCCCGCTGAACCTGACTGAACCTTACCTTGCTGTCTCTGGCAGGCACAGATTGAGAGGGCACTCCGGGAAGAGAAAGAGCGGAAGGACGCTTCCGAGGTGGGCCGTACTAAGGGAACTTAACAATTGGGACAGGGGTTTTGGGGTAGTACTATGTATACTATTATGACTATCGGGGGATGTTGCTACCGAGCATTCGGGCCCCCATAGTCGGGGAGGGACTCGCTTCAACCTTGTTGTTACTACTTAGGAAACTTAAGTTTGCAAAAGTGAGATCGTTTGATTTGCGGAAGTCATGGTTTCATAGGGACGCTTCGGGGGGGGGGGGGGGGGGGGTAGGGGACCAAACTTCCTTCAATAGGCCTTAGTAAGTCCTTATTATGGGCATTAAGGCACCCTATATGCCCCCCGTCCCCCCGACCCCCTAAGGGTCCTTATGATGGTTGGCTACCCTAAACCCTAAACCCTCATCCCTAAACCCAAAGCCCTAGTCCCTAAACCTTTCTAAGGAGCTGTGTGCTCGTGATGGGATGGTGCAGAGGTCCCAGGCCCCTGTATAGCCTACAGCTGCCTAAGCCCGCGAAAAGCCGAAGAAGCATAGGAGCAAAAGCTATCGCGAGTGCAGTCAGCGTAGAGCTGGCAAATGCCAAAGAGCCTCGGAGCAATTGTTCAGGTGGAGCAAGGACATCCCGGGGCCAACTGCAGACGACCGTGTCCTATAAGCTTGCTCCAGCTGCCGCAAAAGGCATTGAAGGGAGATGGTCTTTGGCGCTTGGCTACAAACGGGCCAACCATAAAACCATGATCAGTATCTACCAGTATTAATACTACGAGTACTCTTACCATTATGTCTGTTTTTCGTGTTATTAGTACTAGGATG